TAATATATAATAATTCGCGACAATTAACCTACCAGTTCCTCCTCACACTGGCAAATCAAACAGATAGGTACGGTACCGTCAATCTGGTTCTGAAAACGTACCGGCCGCCGGCTCCTCGCCGTCCGGCGGGTCCGACTCGGAGTCACCAGCCCGGAAGCCCAGCGCCCTGCGCGCCAATGCACAAAGTTCGACCACCGAACTTTACGATCCGAATCCCCCGGTTCAAGTGCCCTTTCAAAACGAGGCAATGCCTTATCATAAAATAATGAACCAAACGCGCTCGTATCAAACGGCAGTATTGTTCTCCTAAATTGCAACGGCATTTCTGGTCAAGATTCCTGGTTAAAAACTTAAGAATCAAAATATCTTTCGATCCGAAATCAAATCATACCCTAGCTCGTCAACTGTTTTGACTGTTGTCACAAATTTTACTGTCGATAAGTTTACCGACTAGATTACGGTCTGAAGTTTGAACCCTGGGTATAGGTCCGAAAAGTTATACGGTATTATCAGATGAGAAGGGTCACGAAACGGTGAACACTAATCAATAACATGCGATACGGCATTGGAAGTTGTGCGAATATCCAATTTAGGCCCTTGATTTCCGGCTGACAACGGATTGATGTCGGGAATCAGGATATACTGCAAGCTGTTTTCAACCGTAAGATACCACGAATCAAGCCTGAAGGCGTCCGATGATCATGAAGCCTGGAAAGCGGGGTCGGCCGGATAATCGAGATCATTGCCAGCAACGTAGAGTTCCCACTTGATCCGCCGGAATTTTGACGTGTCGTTCCGCCGAGACCGGACTCCGGAATGGGCCGCCCCGGGCGGGGCGCTGCCGCAACCTGGCCGGCCGCGGCCCATCGAAGGCACGCGGTCAAGCCGCGACCCGCATTCTCCGCAGCATATGCCCCATATGTTGTCATGGTAATTGAATGCATCATGCATAATTTATGTTGATGAAACGTGTACCGCCGCCCGCGCATGCAACTCCATACTTCTCGATTTTAATTACCTATGTCCATGTTGACTATCTGGACAGTGCTCGGGGACGAGGGGACGGAAACAATTAAAAAACCTAAACCCTGAGAATTACCCGCTCCGCACCCGTACCCACCCTAACCCCCAAACCAACCCTACTCGTCCCCCGGCCTGTGAACCTAACACCTAGGAGACAACTCAGACAAGCCCCTATTAAATACGAGACAAGGGAGTTGCACCCCGTCAAAAGTCCGACTCACGAGTCACGATCCTTCATTGCAGAGCTCTGCTTGCAAGTACGGTAGGTACCTAGTTGCATGCGAGGCCTAGTGTGTTCACAGCAAAGTCCTCCGCAACTGCGCGTCAGGAAGTGCCCAGTGCCGTCGGGTTCAGCCGACTCGGGCACTGCTCGTGATTCGTAATATGACATGCAGATAACGACCAATGCATGCAACGCAGTGCAGCATTGGCCGCTGGGGCAGCGCCGGTCCAATGATGATGCCGAGCAGCATTGGCCGCTGGGGCAGCGCCGGTCCAATGATGATGCCGACGCGAAGTGATGCCCGCATGAGGCGCCCAATAGCATCCCGCCACAACGACAGATAACAGCTCATCAGCCAAGCTTGCGTTTGATGCTGAAGACTCGAGAACATGAGCCATTGTGGTACATAACATTTTGACATCTTTACTTCTTCACAAATCTGTATTCTGCCAGCTCCAATTCTCTGTTGTACGCCCAGAAACCAAAAACTAGCGCCCAAGCTTCGCTACCGCCAGCTGCCAAAATGGAGAAGGTGAAGGAGACTCTCGGCATGGGGCATAAGAAGGCCCACCACCAGGAGCACGAGCGCGTGCATGACGCTGAGGGCCTGGTGAGCTGAAGCGCCTACTTCTCTGATTTGTTCAGTGGTTTGGCAATTGCAGTGCACATTGCAGTATGAATGCAATGCGGGGGTTTGTAGTTTCTGGCCATTCTGTGGATGTCTGTCTGTTGAAACAATGCAGTGGTGAGCACTCCACTGTTCCACTGGCATGACGAAGGGAACAGCCACAAGAGGCACTGGCAATGTGACAGCTGCGCACTTTCATGAGCTTGGTGGATAGAACACTAGGGTGAGAGTACAGAGGTTTTCCTGTATTGCCTTGGCCTCAGAAGACTGTCGCAGCATTGCTGGTCGAAGCATTAAAAAAAGATCATGCAATGCATCTTTCATACAGTTGCTTTTGTAGCTCAGGGTGTGATTCCATGGAACACTTCAACTTCATACTACTTACTGGTGACCAGTCCATTCATTATACCCTCTCTGCACATTCAACAAAGGCCCTTATCTTAGCCTGCCTCATTGTGAAATGCACCTCCAGGGTGTTTTCTGCTGGTCACTGCCCTACATATTCAGGTGGTAATTCTTCAGCGAGGGAAGTTTCCTGAAGCAGGAGTCATGCAGCTTTGCTTTAAACTTGCTGTCATTGCGCGCCCTGCCAGTCTTCTCAACCCGTGTCTTGCATTTGCAGCCAAGGCAGTATGAGACGCGCACAGAGACTGTGGAGAAGGTCCCCCAGATGCGCACCGAGCAGAGGACCGAGCACGTGCCTAGGATGCATGAGCGGCAAGAGGAGGTGATGGTGCCCAAGCACAAGATCGTCATGGAGAAGGAGACGCGCACCGTCCCTGAGATGCACCACGAGGCTGTCCAGAGGGAGGTCAATGTGCCCACCGGAGAGTGAGTACTCTCAACATCTGCACCACTGCTGAGTATGACTACTTTGCGCATGCATTGGAGAAAATGGGGGATCACTCAGTCAGGTTGTATGCGCCAGTTTTGACTTGGTCCTCGATGAAGGGCATATAATACTAAACAATGTAATGTATGAAAGGAGTTGCCATTCAGAGATTTGAGTTCCTTTCATTTGCGATTTCTGAAGTGATTTGAGCAGGAAAAGTAGGGCCAGTAAACGTTGAATGTTTATTCCCGAGCTGGCTCTTGTCGACATGCAGTTCTGAAGAAGCTCTCAACAAGCGGGTTTTGCTTCAGCCACCCAAGCTTTTTGCAATTTATTCTTTTTCCTTCGCATGATGGCATCAGCAATGAGAAAAGAACGGTCTGCTTACCCCTCTGTAGCATACTTCCAGTAATTTACTTGCACCATTCTGGGTACTGGTTACATGCTTTCCATTTATCGCACAGTCCAAACCCACACTTGCAACTATCAGTCTAACTGAAGATGGGAATGGTTGTGACTAACTATTGGAATTTCAATACAACTGCAGATACAGAGAGCGTGTGGTTGACCATAACCGCCACCCAGGAGCTGACACCCACACTGGCGCTCACACCGGTGTTGGCACTCACACTGGTGCGGGTCTGCACACCGGAGCTGTGGGTGAACGTCATGACCTTGGAACTGAGACCCATGGCCATGAGCACAAGAGCACCATGCAGAAGATTAAGGAGAAGGTTCACATGTAAAGTACATTTGAACTAGACGTGTAATTGATGTTGTAATAAAGCAGAGAAAACGAGGAAAGAGAGTAACCCAGAGAGGATGAGTAAAAAGGGGAATTCAGCCTCTCTACTCACGTTTGTCTTCGACCATTTGTAAAGTAAGAAATCGTAGCAAAAGAGGATTTTGTGTAAGTGCACCTCAATCTAACAAACAATGACTGCGGAATTGTAGAATTGGGGAGAGCGAAGGTTTGTCAACACGTCTTGGTTACGCATTTGTCACACTTCACTATATGTCAGTCTTGCGCTTCAATTGAATATCCATTGACAAACCACAAGCAAAATCATGCATATATCTGCAAATGATAGTACCGCTTTTCTCTCTAAAATATAACATATACGCTTACATTTGATATATTAACTGTGCGGAAGGTATGCATCAATCCTTTGTACATCATATGCATATTTCCATAACCCTATCACTATCATGCGAATATTGGAGGGGGAGAAAAACCGCGATTGTGTTATCACGGTCGAAATAGCCCCATTCAACAAATGCACTCAAAATGTAGCGAAGCGAAAAGATGAATCATGAAATGACATGAATAGTTTATGCATGATACTGCATGGAATGGAATGAGGAAGGTTACAATAATGCTGCATGCGCGTTGATATAATGCACCGTGTTTATACCCGAGCTGCCATTTTACATTAATAATGCTAGACTTCTGGCGACGGAACGGTCCGTCCCTCAAGAAGGAATTCTAGTTACATATACCTATATACGAAGGTGTTCAGACACGCGGAAGCATGGGTGCACTGCGTCAAAGCAAAAGTAAAAGATTTGCCAACTTACAAGGAAACCTGGTCCAGATGATTATGACCGCCAGGCTATACCCTTCTTTGCTGCACGTTTAGTCCCTTCATTTGAACCACATGCTTCCTACTTGATTGACTATTGTCCTCGTTGAAAATCTTGAGGCGCTCGTCATCATCATAGGACTTCGACCTTGTTCTTTGTGATTAGCCAGCCATAAAGACGTACCCTGCAAGAAAAGAGTGGACCAAATCTGATGCATGCCAACGAAACAGTCCGAACATGTGCACATGTTATTTCGGAATGAAGAACGGATGATTTTTAGCTAGCACGATATGTCGAGGAATGTTATTGCAAGTCACTTAATGCGCTCTCAGATGGAAGTTGACCGAACACAACACTGAACGTTGAAGGAATAGACGGAAGACCTTATTGGGACCGTCCTGTTCCAGGAATGGATTCTCTCTCTCAATTCAAGGCCGCTTGACCAATGACACTGAATCCTTCGAAGCTGGAAGTTCGTCAGAAAACAGCAGTCACTAGAGCTGCGAAGTGGGGGATTCGCGAGAGAATCCACTAACGCGCCCACCATTGCTTTTCAAGGTTTCTACTTTGACCAAGTTAAGATAGTCGCATCTAGCTCAAGCAACCGCGAGTTCCGAAGCTTCTTGCGTCAGGAAGTGAAATCTGTTGACGACTAGAACCTGACGAATATGAAAAGGGATAACGGAACATCCAGATAAGTTGCTAACGGTGAGAGCTATCTGTTGAACTCGTGCTGCAATTTAGGTCGTCTCTTGGTAAGTGCAGGCCTAAAGATTCAGGTCCGATGGTCGATTTACCTTGTCCCGTCACTTTTGCACCAGCTCTTCACACCTCCTCTTCCGGCTCGGAGCGAGGCCGGCAGATCTGCACACAGTAGTATCAGTTGCATGCTGAGATACAGCCAGGTTAAGTGAGGTTAGTGCCTGGGGAGAGACGGGGTTAGAACGGGGCACGGGTGCGGAGCGCGTGGGTTTGTAACCAGGGTTTTGATCTAGTGGGTGCGCCCGGTTCCTATTGTATCCTTACGTCACCCACCTGGCTCACTCGACCTAAGATTAAGACTTTTTCTGCACACGGTAACGTTCAATCAACTCAAAAATTTGGAAAATTTCAATACGTCCTTCTGAAACGAGTTGGCCACTCTGTCAAATGTGAAAGGCTTTGGAGATTGTGGTCGTGGTCGCTCAGGAGCGATGCTTCTCCCAAAGGTGTTATAGTCGGTCATCTGACGGTTGGCAGAAACGGTTGGATCTGGAAAGGAGATATCTCTTGTGGACGGTTTTCAGGAATTTCTTGAGCGTAAGTGGTAAAGTCTTTCACATCGAGTCAGATTCCAACTTCTGAGGTGCCGCGCGTCCCATCACTTCCGCTTACGCGCATAACGCAACACGTTTGAAGGCCGTCTCATCAGTTTCGCCTACGCGTTTAAACTGATACAATCTAACGCGAGCGCTAGAGAAGGACCGAGACAAAGCTTGTGCGCGCTTGCAAAGGAATGGCGCGGTGCGAAGCTAACTTGAGCACCGGTTCTAGTCATAAATAGTAAGCAAGCTGGCAACCCCGGTTGATAACGCTCTCGGTGGCCGAGAGCAATTCAGCCAGAGGGAACCACCTCCGAAATCGAAAGTTGTTTCCTGATGCTTTGTATCGGCACAGTTCGGCACAGTGCATGCGAGACGAAGGTCAACATTAGACATCATCTCGAAGTTTCCTCTTTCAGTTCTGGTCAGCTGTGAAGCATGGTTTTCTTCGGCTTGCACAACCCAAAGCATAACCCTGATCCGCCGAGCAGCTACGCGGCTCGCTCGCTCTCTTTGGCTGTCCGAAAACATGCGATGTAGGAGCAACTTTAGAACCTTCTCCAAAAACTATTCACTCAACGGACGACGAAGAAAACGAAGACTCGATGCTCACCGTGCGGCGGCTTCCACTGCTTCGACGGCAGCTCCAGGAAGTATAGATCCAGGAGCCAGGCCCACAAGCCCCACGGAATCAGCGGCCCCCAGACTCGTTACCAGGGCGTTGTGACGTCAGCATGAGTGGCCAGGTAGAGAAAGCCCGCGCAGGCTGCCAAAGTCGAGGGGAGCAGAAGGACGAGGAACTCCGCGGCCGGGGGATCGTGCGCGAGTAGGTTGAGGTGGGCGCGCGCGACGCGGCGGCTGAGGGGTCGCGGAAGGCGTAGGAGAGGCGCGCGCGGCCGCGGAACTGAGCGGAACAGGGGCGCGGGGGGCGCGAGGTTTACTGATCCGATGTGGCAAGAGATTAGACGGTTTGAACAGCAGATTGTACGAAATTGTGAGATGACTGTAACGGAACTCTAGCGGAACAGGGCCGCCGAGGAGCTGCACGGAACAGGAGCGCGGAATAAGGGGAACTCTGACGTGGCAATAAAGGGGTTTTTAGAACGAGTGCAGTTTGAGAGCACGGGAATCAGCAGACAGGCACAAATCCAAGCTAACGACCTGTGATTCCCCGCGTTTCAACCAAACCTCACTTTGACGTCCTGGTTGACAAAGACGATTGCGTGGTCCCCAGACCCGGGGTTTGCATTGGACACGTGGCCAGATCGTGTGCCGACATAATAGGATGGATTTGCCACAGCGGCGTGCAGCGTGCTTTGCCGGCACTCCTCCCTGAGACTCAACACTCGTTGGAAGGGTTCGCATGCTATACCTAGTCAGACTCGCACTCGTGGGCTTTTCAGAAAACTTTCTTGATCTGTTAACTAGCACCTGACGGCGAGGCATAGCTCCGAAGGGCGCTTTTGACCTTCGACTCAGCTTGCTTCCGTCGGTGTTTCGCAGCGTGCGTTTGAATGAGAACACGGAGACTACCTGGTGAGCATGGGTTACGGATGCGCTTACCCCGGGCGTGGCGTCAGAGAGCTGCCCGTAGCACGTCATTTCGTTGTGAAGCTTGACTAGTCTGGGGTCTGCACGAAGAAAAGTAATCACTTGAGCGTCGGAAGCTAAAAGGAACCTTATAATGTTCGCTTGAAGCGAGACCCATAAATTCTACACCGCACGGTGGCATAGGTAGTAGGGAAGAGCGTCTGACCTAGGCATGTTGATATCCTTCAGAAGTAGTGCGAGGTTCTGGAGCAAACAGGATTGCTCTGAGTCACGAAGTCGAGTGCTGCCGTTTAGAGGTGAGGGACAGTTTATGCATCTAATCCGCAACTACATGTTGTAAGAATAAGGGTTACATGAAACAGAAAGCTCAATCGATGGAGGACTCGAGTGGCGATCACACAAAAGACTTTCAACAGGAAACCAAAGGGGGGGCTCTTCGCCATTTTGTGGACGTCTTGACAATGCGACCAGTAGCAGCTAAAACTGGTCGCCAATTCAACCCCCACTTCGCAAGCATCCTCTTGTCGTTTTGCCCTTCCACTCTGTTCTAGATGCAACCATTCGCTTGAGAGGCATCAAAATAAAAATCAAATGCAAAAGGATGCAGTCGAAAGTCGACCTGCGGCACATGTCTCAGATTCTCTAGACCGCCACCTTCTTTTACAAGGACCAAACTCAATCATAAGCATCCAAAGCATCATACGCTTATCAATGGTCAGCATGCATCCCTTCCCTTTTGACCTGCCTCTTCGAGGAACTTCTGAAGGCACCATCTTGGAGTTCTCTCACCTTGGCGCGTCATCATAAACCCCGTGAACTACAGGTAATATCTCTTGAACGCCCAGAGCAGGATAAGCCCAGGACCGCCAACGAAGCGTCGTACCGGTTATCGTGGCGAAAGATAGATTGGGAGGGCGATGCACGTCAGCAGCACGAACGGAAAGAAGACGACGGACTCCGCCGCGCGATGGTTGAGCGCGAAGGGGTTCAGGTGGAGGAAGAAGTAATGCGCGGAGCGGGTGTGACCGAAGGCCGTCTTGGTAGGCGGGACGAACGGCTGCAGGAAAAAGTTTCGCCATTAACCATGGGTGGGTTAAGGGCTGGTAGAAAGTGGATACATGTTCAATATCCAGACTTGGGCGTTAACCAGGTCAGCGCGGTTATCTGGTCAATAAACTGAGCCGCCATCTGGTACTCAGTCTGGTTAGCGGCCAAACCTTCTGCGCGCGCAGCTGCAAGCGGCCCAAAGGGGGTTCGAAAGAGTTGACGGTTACTGGTCGTAGGGTTTAGGTATTGTTTCTGAGCAAGCTCTTTCATCAAAGAAAAAGGAGGCCAGAGTTCGCACTCTGAATCACAGGCACCATGCAGGCTTAAGAAGCAAATTCTGTGGGCTCAAACCTAGGGCTCAAACCTTCTACAGAGACTCACTTTGCAGCGTGAATTTCGCTGAATCGAGACGCATTGTCTGATTGCCTGTCGCTCCCCATCTCACCTGTGCTGGAGGCGCTAGATTTGCTCCCGGAAACAGCCGCCTCGGATCGGGAAAATCTGCACACGGATAAGACTAGGGCGTCTCATGAATGGTTCCGCAAAAAATTCCATGATGTTTGAGAACCAAGTGTGCCAGCTTGCCAAGGCAAGAGGTTCAAACGATTGGACGCTTCGAAACGAAATTCTCATTTGAGGACCCCATATTCAGCCTCTAATCGTACTATCTGATCCATCCAAAATTCCCCCACTCTTTTGAACCAGGCAGCGTTCCTTCAATTAAGCCGCCCCCGTCACTTCCAAGCAAAGGAAATCTGAAATTGTACATTACAATTTCTTAGAAGAACTACAAAACTGAGTGTTTAAAAACCCTAGATCATAAATTCTGACCTTTTCCGCGTAGATGACACCCGCGAAGTTCAAAACGTATCGTTCTGAGATAGATCGTAAAACGTACAATAATCAAACATAGAAAAGGAGTTGAAAGGCCCGAAAACTCACCGTAAGGCCGCCACGCGCGCCGCGGCAGCTCCAGGAAGTCCATGTCGATTACCAATGAAACCCGAACCAGATCAGGAACGGCCAGTAGACCTCGTACCACGTGGCCCGCTCGGTGATGCTGACGTGGCGGAGTATGGAAGAGCTTTTCCAGAAAGCTGCCACAGTCCCGGAGAAAGTTAAACCAGGAACTCGGCGCGGCGCGGTTCGAGGCAGAACGGGTTGAGCTGGGTGTAGACGAGGTAGCTCAGGGGGGCCGGTGAAGCTGCACGAGCGCCGCGGGAGGCCGAGGAACTGCGTGGGTGGAATGCTGACGTCAGCGGAAAGATCACGAAATGTCTGGAACAAATGGTCTTTCGGCCGTGAAGTTTCAAAAGTTTTTTTCTGTCCTCGTAAGAAGCTCTGGGGCTAGGCGAAGTAGCTCCGGGGGCCGGTGAAGCTGCACGAGCGGCGCAGAAGTCCGAGGAACTGCGAGGGCGGAATGCTGACGTCAGCGGAGAGATTTCGAAAGGTCTCGACCAATTGTCTTTCTGCCTTAAGTTCCATAAGTGGTTGTTTTCTGCCGTGAAGCCTCGTAAAAAGCAGGTCCTGGGGTTAGGCGAGGTAGCTCAGGGGGCCGGTGAAGCTGCACAAGCGGCGGGGAAGTCCGAGGAACTGCGAAGGCGGAATGTGAACGTCAGCGGAACGAACGGAATTCGCACGGCATCCGGTATCTGACAGGAATCTCCTTTAGAAGCTTGCTCTTCTGGGTGTTGGCGAAGTAGCTCAGGGGGCCGGTGAAGCTGCACGAGCGCCGCGGGTGTCCCAGGAACTGCACGGAAGCGGAATAAGGGGTCAGCGGAACGATCAAGAAATGCACGGAATCCGGTCTCTAACGTAGATTTTCGAAAGAAGCTTGCCCTGCGGAGTGGAGGCGAGGTAGCTTAGAGGGCCGGTGAAGCGGAACGAGCGCCGCGGAAGTCCATAAAACTGCAGAGACAGAAGGTGGACGTCAGCGGAACGATTGGGAAACGGACGGAATCCGATTTCTGAAGTAGTATTCCAATGAGAAGCTTGTCCTGCTGGCTGTAGGGGAGGTAGCTCGTTCGGCATTGGGCAACGGACGGAATCTGATGTCAAGTTTTCATGATAATTCTGCCCTGCTGAGGGCCAATGAAGCCTGCAAGAGAGCCGCGAAAGTCTGAGGAACTGCGGGGGCGGAACGCGGACGTCAGCGTAGGATGAGGAAAAGTCTGAACTTGGACGGAACTCGCTTGCTGTAGGCGAGCTTTATCAGGGGCCCGTGAAGCTGACGAGAGCCGCGGGCGTTTGAGGAACTGCGGGCGCGAAGTTCGACGTCAGCATTGTAGACAGAATGAAGAGGGCTTTGACAAAGAACGCTCTCAGGGTGAAGGATCTGAATGAGAGTCTGCCAAGACCAAACTTCCAGTGCTGAGAGACCTCGTCACAGCTTTGCAAACGAACCAGAAGCCGAAGCAAACTTAGACCAAGTCCCGGTCAGCGGGACGTTAAGTGAATTGTCGAAGTTACTTACTCCTGGAAACGGAGTCGGTCAGCGAGGCACCAAAGCAGCTCCTCGGATCGGGGGGCTCGTAGAGTGTGCAATCTGCAACGGGTGAAAAAGCTGCTATTACTATCTTGAGGGAATCAGGCTTTCTGTAAACGATTCAATCGTAGAAATGATTCCAGACTCAGCTGGTCGAGGTTGCAGAGCTGATCTAAGCTTCGTTTGCGACGTTAGGTATGAGCTGCAGCCGTAAACGGAAGTTTTCAGGGGAACGTTGGGCAAATTCGTGGTCATGCGATCAATTTCATGTTTGATCGGAAGGAAACCCGTTACAAAAAGCATCAGGCTCACCCGTCGCCTCGGAACTCTCTCCGCTACGGTGAGGTACAGCCGCTGCATGGCCAAGAGGATGACAAGGGCGACGCCCCCAAGGCCGAAGGACGCCGCGTAATGGCCCTGGGGATAAAAGCGCGCGAGCGCGAGCGCGGCCGCGCCGCTCGTTGGGAGAAGGATCGCGAGCAGCGCGACGAACTCCGCGGCGCGATGGTTCAGCGACAGGGGGTTCAGGTAGAGGAAGATGAAGAGAGCGAGCTTGCTGTGGCCGCAGCTGTTCTCGTTGGGGCGGAGAAGAGGCTGCAGAAAGAAGAATTTGTGTTTGAGCAGGAAGTTGGAGTTTGTGTTTAAGCGGGAGTTTGAGCTTCGGATGCAACTGCTTTCAGGGGTCCGAGCGCAAGAGAGGAAGCGCCTCTGTTTTCGAGATATCTTGTCTCTTTTATGCCGCTCATTGAAAGGGTTGGATGCACATCCGACTGCGTAAAAGAGGTTCCCTTTTCGGATAAACCAGGTGATAAGTACAGTAAGGAGCGATGGAGTCTTGCAAGCAAGGTCGACCTTTAAGAAGTCATTACAACCGGATTATGCCAGCACGAGGATCCGAAGCTTTGGAGAATATACGTGTCAGTGACGGCAGCTTTGCAGCGTCTCCCTACGTACAGCGATCTGGGCACTGCTCCTCCTCTGTAAACTTTAGGATTCTCCGGTCCCTGGCTTACATGCTTTAGCAATCAGAAGGAAGTTCAGAGCATCGTCAAGTCCACCAGAGCGGTGAAGATCGATGATCCTTAAATATGTATGTCAGGAAGAACAAGGCAGCATGCAGCTGGTCACGTTTCTGCAAAAACTGCAGTAGTGGATCTTACCTCGGTGCTTGCATCTTCCGAGCTCTTCCAAAGGACAGGTGGCTCGACACTGGAGAGTCCATGGTGTCTTTCGTACTAGCACAAGAACCAGGGTTGGTTCTTCAGTCCAACACCAAGCAGGCTGTTGAGGAAGGCAGAGGAAAGCGGGTCAGCAGATTTTTCTAAGTGCTTCAGCAGACAGAATGTTGACGTATACCAGATAGGGATCTTGTGTGCATGATTGAAGGCATCCAGCCTACTGTGTGAATCTGGAAGCGAAAGCTTAAGATAAATGGCTTTCGTGTAGGATCAAATCATTTGGAGCAAGTCCTTTAGCAGGCTGACACACTAAACTTTCTCAGAAGATCAACTTTCCGCTTCTTGAGAATGTGAAACCAGGAAAAGGCTGAGAATGTTTGGATCATTCAATATGTAAAGCTTCATACAAGGCGTAGAAATTGGTTCCAATCGAGAGGGTTCCCCTTGCAATCCTCACAATTCATTCTTACAGCCAAACACTCATGATACGAGGAAACAGAGTCATCGAATCAGCAGACCAATGCTTTCTGAGCTGCGGGCTGCATACATGAATGCGTCATCGACACTGTTCAGCCGTGACCTTCCACTCAAAGTGCGCGAAGAGTTGAGCAACACTTACCTGTCGTACCCTACGCAGCGGGAATCACTTCGTGATCTCTATCTCTGCTTGTGTGCTTCTTGCACAGGGCTTGATTGCATCTCTTGCGCAGGGCCTCTCTTAGGGACAGCAGTCACCTCGTGCTCGAGGCGCCAAACCTCTTGTGCTAGCTGCCGATAGATTCCGCTTTCGATGCTCCCTTGACGCTCTTCGGCGCGCTCTTTCTTCTCTCTCTCTATCCAATTTGCGTGGCTGTCTTCGGAGCATCCAAGAAGAGGCTGCAAGGCTCCCTTTGAAGGCCGCTCGCAAAGCGTGCAACACTTTGTCAAGTACGGTAGCTTTTCAGCTCGACTTTCTCTTCGATTCAGACCGTGACGAGCAGCCGTGACAATAAAAGCTTCAATCGGCAGCAAAACAAGGGGAGACACTGCAGAGATCAACTCGAGGCATGCATGCGAGATGGCGCTTTTACTAAATTTTGTATAGCACGAGCGCACGTAACCGGGTGTGGGCATTACTCAGTTCCGGTGCTGCTTATTCCGTCTGGTGGCCATTCATCTAGAGCTCACGGGATCCGACACGAGCAGCTATATAGCGCGACGGGCTATAAAGCTCAAGTAAGGAAATTCGGTCGCCCGGCCGCAGATCACATGACAGCGCTTATATAGCCGGGTACGGGTGCAGAATTGGTGAGCGCCGTTGCGTATGTCTGCAGGCGTCGTGCATTGTCTCATGCAATGACGTAGTAGCGAGGCCTTGATCGAATGAGGCCAAACCATTGCACTTATAATTATGGAGCCCATGCAATGTTCTGAGTCCAAGCAGATTGATGACTCTTTTGTGTCCGACATCGATGCGATATGTCCAATTGTAACATGCACGCTCATGCCGGCGTATAAGAAACAATAGCTGTTGAAGTGAGCCTCGGATCCCGCAATAGATCGGTAATCACCAATCCAGTAATTGCAATAATGGTGATCGCGTAATTCTCAGATGCAAGCTCGAGCACACAACAGGAACCGATGGCGCTGCAAATGCACCATGCAGTGCGCAACTTTTCGAATCGTGGTTTGAAAAGCTACCCGGTGACCCCGGCCAGGCTTTTCGTACCGCAGCACGTCCATTCGCGAATCCGTGCTCGATTACGCAGTCCCGAAGCGATTCGGCTCGACAGAGCCCTTGATGACTCTGACAGTGGATCTGGCACAATCACCGCCAGTGATGACATCACAACAATCTTACGACTACATCCTCATTATCTTCCTAACGTGACAGGTCTGGGTAAACGACCAGCCATTCCGATCACCCCCGAGGAAATGCTTGACATGGATCGGCTTTCAATTACGAATCTGCTTGTCATCAAACTCAACCATGCACCTCAATGAGGAGGTAACCTCTTCTCTGTCGTTACCTGCCTGGGTAGATGTAAGTCAAGCTCAGAAATTCTTTGAGCTGCGAAACTTGCCCGTGCTCTTCGTACATGCTAGCTCTGGATCTAACACTGACGGGCGACCGAACGGCAGGCAGCTACGACTCCTCTTGTCGTAGTTTCTGTGTAAGAGCCAACGGCAGTCAGGATTTCAGTAATTGCGTACCGAAGATGGACTCAGAAGCAGCCTTTGTGCTGATCCCAAAGAGCACACAGTGAGCGGTGAACTTTAGATCCGTGGGACGGATCAGAAGCTGTACCCGACCTAACAGAGATGGCCAAGCGACGTCACGTACCAATGGTTCAGCTTTAAGTACCTTAACTTAAACAGAAAAGGTGTTCTGACGCTTTCAAACGGGAAACGGATGCTTAAAACCGGAACGCAGACGCAAACGGATGCTTGAGACCGGAACGCAGACGCCAAAAGGGACACCGCTTCAACGTTGGACTTGGTTCAGGTGGTCCTAACCATGAATGCAGACTCCCGCTTAGGGGTGGCCATCGACCACGATATCCCCCGAAGTATGTCCGTCTGAGTGCACTGTTGCCCAAAGAAACGATGAGCGACGAGAACCATTCCCAACCAAGCAAACAAGCCTTTCATTTTGCATCCATCCTGTAAGAACTCCTCTTTGCATGAGACTCGCCTTCGCCTTCACAAGATTAAGCAGAAGAGCTTTGCATACCTGCGACAAGGCCACCCAGTCGTCCAGCGTCCGCAGAGCGGCTCCCGACCGCTGCACTTCCCTGGCCCGGGCCACGCCCTCGCCGACGTCAGCAGCGACGCCGCACGCGACGAGCCCAACCCCAGCGTTCAAAATCTGAAAGACAAACACCGTCAGCTTGAGATTGCCGCAACTCCGGTGACTCGTTGGCTGAGTTGCGTCCTTTGTTTCCGAAGGAGGTAGCGAGAAACGATGCAATATTACATCCGCTGCGTCGTTGCCATGATGGCTTTCATGCAGTCTCTCAACAGGACGCGGACCCCAATGAAAGGGTCGTCTACTTGACAAGCGCCAGCACATCCATTTTAGCTCCTTAAGCGGCCGCATTTGCTAATCGGATGACGGACGAGAGCTACCTTCGTTCGACACTCTCCTTAGAATAGGTATGTTTCCCCGGTTTTCCGCTCTACCCAATAAAGCAATCGCTCTCTCGCAACCGGCGACGAACCAGGGCGTTGGAGACGGCTCCCAATTGAGGGAGGCAAAAATCTCTTCAGAGTGCCAATTGCTTGGTCCTCCGTTCCATTAGAGACCCCTGAATATCTCAATACGCGGACGCTCAAGTCAACATTCCTTCCCGACAGAAGAACACGAACAAGAGCGTCGACAATAGCTCTCAATCCTACCAACAATACGAGTGCCCGTCCGCAAAACTCGCCTCGACTTGTTACAAATGGCTCAATTCAAACCCTCTTTACTTCTCCGGTACGTACCAGAGCGTCCGAGACGGCTCCCCGAGCGCCCGCCAGCATGTCCCGCAAGATCTTTGCGTTGAGGGCCTTGTCTCCGCCCCGGAGGTCCTCCAGCGTACACCGCGGGACGCCGAAGTCGACTGCGAGCAAAGCGCAGGCTTTGGCAACAGAGCCTTTCGACGGTCTCAGAAACCGAGGTTCAAAACAAGATTTTAAAGAAAAAAAGGGAACGCGGTGAGTACATCCTGGGGGTTCTTCAACGCACACCACGGGACGCCGAAGTCGACTGCGAGCAAAGCGACGGGTTTGGCAAACAGGGCCTTTCGACGGTCTCATGATTCAGGGCCCGAAAAAGAGAGAAAAAAACCAAGGGAACGCAAATGTCTCATCTAGGGGTTCTCCAGCGAACACTGGAGCACGCCGAAGTCGACTGCGAGGGAAGCGGGCGGGTTTGACACCAGGGCGTTGTCGGTCTCGTGGGACGAGTGCGACAGTGTGATATGGAAACACACAGCCTGGACGTTCTCGCAGGTGTTTTTTAACGTCTCAACGAAAGCAGGTAGGCTTGCTAGGGACTGGTTCTCGGCAATCTGTGGATAAGTGGGGCTGGCCCCCGAATCCGGTCGACAAGGTGTCACTTTGCAACCAACCATTTTACCAGTACGGTGCGCAGGTTTCCGTAACTGGGGGTTAGCGATGACTCTCTAAGTCTGCAAACTACCTGGATTCATCCTGACCAAGTTCCCTGATCATCGGGGTTCAGCAACAGTTCTCGTGTCGCCAAAGCTAAACCCTTTTTGGATCCACCCTGACCAGGTTCCCCGGTTTATCAGGATTATCAATAACTCGAGTCGAGAAACCTGAGTCCTACTGAGATCTACCCGACCACGTTTCTCGACTATTGGGGGGTAGCAATGCATTTCGTTTTGGCCAAGCTGAGTCCTACCTGGATCCACCCTGAAGTTTCTAATGGTCTCGGGTGTCACCTCCAACATGTCTGCGGGACCTGCAAGCACGCACTTGTGAGCACGTGAGCGCCAGATCACATGATGAGGGAAGTAGCCACATTTCGTATCAATTCGGGTTAGAATGTGGAGAAAACAGTAACAGGCCGTGGCCAGCCACTCCTTGCCGGCGTGCATTTTGCAAACCAACTCTCGAGGGAACCTGCAACCGTTCGAGCAGCGGAAGATTATCCAGAATGCCCAGTTTCTCGAGAAGGAGGAAGTTTGAGGAGGCCGTACCCAGCGGAGAAATCTCGTCGAGCCCCTCCGAGTGCACGACCAGTGCGCGCTTTGTACCCAGCTTCTGCAGCGACTGCGCCATCAGCTCAATCTGCACCGACAGGGAGTATAGTATACTCAACAACAGCCGCCAGGATGCGCTGACCGTTCCTCGGTTTGGGAACGCAAAGCTATTTCGCAGGCTCCTAAAACTGGAATTGTGAGATAAGAGCAGTGTTTGGAGGCGACTATTCAAAAGCGAAAGAACAGTGGTATACAACTCAGCGGACGCTTCTTATCCGAGAATGACCACGCCTAGGACTTGGTCGAGGAGAGAGAAAGATACTCTGGCAAAACAACTGCCCGCAAGCAGTCCGTCTCATGAGCTGTACGTGTTACCTGCCGGGTCCCGTCCCATCAATAGTATCACTGCTTATGATGGTCCCATTTGAATCAGAACTTTCAGCTTACTAGCATCCACAAGGGCTTGTTCCAAAAAAGCGCACGTCATGACACAGACCCGCAATTGAACGGAACTGACGGCGGAAGGACGCTTTGCTCACCAGTTCCGAGTTGAAGACTCCCACGAGGGCATATCGTGCCATGGCCGGGTTCAGCATTGGGCCCTGTAGAAAGAGGGTTCTCATTCGCTGACGGGGACTCAGGGACCGCGGCGCAATTGTCGGATGTGTTGGTTTCGTGAGGTAAAGCTGCTACAAAAGAGTCGCCCGAGGTATCTAAGAACAGAAGGCGAAGAAGCGTCCCGTATCAACAGCCCCTGCTCCGATTCCTGACCAGAGTCCTTTCAATCCATTGAATCCATACGATACTTGTTTCTTACAACCTGAAACGCATCACTTCAGAAAATTATGCACTAACCAGGATGTTGAACGCCGTCCGGATCTTGAGCGCGGCCCGCACTTGCTTGACCGCAGACATCGCTGGATGGTACCGAGGCGCGAACATGAAGCCGACGCCGACTTCTCGGACGCACTGCGCGACGCCCTGCAAAACACCACGGCAGAAGTCGAAGCTTAGAAGACTGACGAGAAGGCGCGGGATCCAGGAAAATCCCAACGTTGCCGGCTGTGGTCTATCATGGACACCTGTGGATTTGCGGTTACAATTTTGTGGGAACAGGTTCCAGGAGCATTTCCCGAGTTGACACTCACAGGAAAGATGTTCAAGGAACATTTTCGAATTCACATTCCCAAGAATCGAATTCTGCATTTGGAAATCACCCCAATGCAGAGCAATCTGGTGCAACTGGGCAAATGTGAGGCTCTGAGAGACGTCTTGTCACTTCGGTCGAAACAAGGAGTCGCAGCTTACCCACTTGGGCTCTCCACCAGACATACAAGCGAGAATCAACTTCACCAGTTCAAGGCATGGAGCTAAACATGTCACAGACATTCTTCAACTTGTGCAAAGTCTTTCCGACGGCCGGAGTGGAGCACGCCCTTGGCAATCATCTTTCTGGAAAGACAGACCAGCATTCGGCGGAAGCACAAAGGGGAGCAAGTGTGCACATACCTCTGGACCTAGATCGACGGCGACCCCTAGAGCTTCAAGAACGTCGGCGCTTCCGCAGGCGCTGGAAACCGACCGGTTGCCATGCTGTTGTAGAAAGACAAGCACGCAGCCATCAGAAATGATTTCGAAGCGAAATTCGGTGCAGCATCAACAGTCAAGAAGACAACTTCTGGATCATGTTGGCGAAAGTCGTCGGTTCTGTCATGGGAGATCTGCCAAGCATGAGTTCCGAATGGAAACCAACCCAATCAACCGGGGAGGGCTTGAGGAGGAAAACCTGAACGTGTCGGAGACAAGCCCAACCTACTAGGACTCTTGTGACCCCGACCCCGATCTTGCCTGAGCCTTGATCAATCACCATAGCTTCACATTTGCAGAAGGGCCCCCTTCTTATGTGAAATCAGACTGGAATAGAACACAATCAGTTCGACATGTCATGAGGAATCAGGCAGGAACGAGACACAATCAATTTGTCAAAAGTCTTTCCAGGTGTAATACCAAGCTGACCTTGGCGACCTTGCCCCCGCACGCAGCCACCAAGATACACGACCCCGTCGAGATGTTGACCGTGTTCGCACCGTCCCCTCCCGTCCCCACAATGTCCAGGACGTCGTCTCCGGCGTGAACGCGCACCGCCGCTTTCTGCATCGCACGAGCTAGCCCCACAATCTGCACACACGAGAAGGAGGTGGGGGTTTGAAATCGCCATCATTCACTTTATATGGAGGACTCAATTCTTCTGCCGCTTTCTGCATCGCACGAGCTAGCCCCACAATCTGCACTTAGAAGGAGGTGCGGCCTTGATACAGCTATTATTCGCTTTTTGTGGAGAACTCCACTCCTTCAACATGTTTAAGCGCAGTAGAAGTGAGAGGAGTTCATGAACGGCTAGAACGCTTTCTGCATTGCACAGTATCACCCCTGCCACAACGCCAATGATGCAGGAACCGAATCTCGTATTTTCCGGACCCTACATGATTGGTCAAATCAGCTAGATCCAAAGATAGTACCAGCCCAAGCTCGGTATGGTCGCTTTAGCTCTCATCTTTGGTTGAGCGATTGGTACAGGAAGTAGCAACACTCTCACTTTTCTGACTGGACCTACGATAAGGCACGGCCTGCTGTTCAGTCATTGGTCAAATTGGACCCTATTGCATAAAAAAGACCCAATTGAACAACGTCAGTCATCGCATTTTCTAGAGGGCATCACTCAGAAACCCCTGCAATTTTGCCATACCGCTGGTACCATCACTTCTCAATTCTGCCAACAATCTGATGAAGGTTGAACCAAACCGAGTGATCGGCCCCTTACTTCATCTGCCGTCTCCCCTTTTGCTCTTAGCAAAGCAAGGAAAGCAGCAGTCTGTGCGGGATGCGATCCATCCAGAACGCTTTCAAGGGCCGCTTCTGTCTGTTCTTGTGACAGATCCGTTCGCTCGACAAGGAGTTGAAGAACCTGAGTAAGACAAATATGAGTTAGTTGCACCAACAAGCTAGATAACTCAAAGTTCTTCCTCCAGTAGACATTCAGTGAATGTGGGATCAAAGGCATTCTTGCAATTAGATAAGAATCAAGCAATGAGCTGCATTGCCTTCCTACCCACATGGGAATAATATCGCCCATTCGATGCCTTTCATCACATTTTCATTGTCAGATGATGGAGACTAATCACACTTGTTTTGACGTAGACCATGAACACCACCACTTGCGAGCTACATACCTGTTTCATGTCAACTTTTGAAGGCGCAGCGGTGGCTACTGCCCGCACCGCAACCGCTCGCCGTCCTTTACGCTGCAGTCTCTGTGAAACTGCCCCAGAGATAAAGTCCCCTTCGTTGCTGTCCCTTGTCCGAATGTCATGGCCGCAAAGCCCTAAACTTGGCAGAGGGGCTTGTTGCCAACAATGCTTGCGAGATCGATTGACAGTTTCGTGTGAGCTGGCAAAGTGCGGGAAATGAAGTGCGCTCCTAACGGCTCCGCAACGCAATGCTGCCGCCATTTGACGCCGTTAGCACGAGGAATGGTTGCTCGCTTCAAGCTGGTCTAGACAACCTGTTGGCTCCGCCCCCTAGATTAAGTGGCAGCTGCTCTGATTTCTGTGCATAGCTGCCAATACAGCTGCTCTTTTTGCGCCTCCCTCTCCTCAGCTCTGGATTCCGGTACACCTGTGCATTCTTGACACACACCGTGCAGGGTTCTTCAGCTAGAGCTGCATTTCGCCAGCTGGTGATCCCCCCACGCAATTTTGCCCCAGTGATGTCAACATTGACATTGGGACAACCTCGGTGACTCTCGCGCAAATCTAGCCGCCAGCACTGAGAAGAAAGATTATGGACCATTTGGATTTTTCGAGAGTCTTGAATGAGGATGGATTGAGCAGAAAAGTTGATATGTGCACACAATTGCAATTGATGGCGCCCCAGCCTTTCCCAGTCTTGGCAATGGAGTCAGCTGGGTGAGAGAGTGGGGCGCTTTCAGAACTGTCTTGCCAGGTGCAAGTTGGGTGGATTGTCCCTGCGTTCTTTGTTTGTCGGCAGGAGCTGAAAAGAATTGAGCTGGAAGAGCTCTCTCAGTCTCTGCAACAGTCTCTTTGGTGGCACTCATTGTAAGTTGCGGTTTAAGCAGGCAGCCTTTGCTACAGCTGTCGCTTTTGCATCGGGGTTACTGCTATCAATCGGTGGAGAGCGGAACGAGCGTCAACTTGCCGTATTCTCCAAATCCTTGAACCCGCTTATTTCTGACTAATTTGAAGACGTGCTTGAAGCAGTTTGTTTGAAGCATGGGGCAAACCCTTAGCATGTGCAGCAGCCAGGCAGTGGTGCGGAGAGTTGAAGACGCAGACTTGGAGAATGAGGATGGCATGTTTGGTCTACGGACCTTAGTCGTGGCGTCCGAGCAGGAGTCCAGCGAGTCCGAGGAGGGCAGCAGCCTAAGCTACCCAATTTCGAGCAGAGACTCCGCTTATGAGACAGCGGGGAGTGACGAAGAAGTCGCAGAAACTGGTGAGCTGGACTAGTTGGTGGTCCTGGCCTTTGGTAGTATGCATCATGAAATAGTGCTGGTCAGGGTTTCTATGCCGATTAACTTAGTCTGTTCTTTTTCCTGTGCTATCAATGGTTGCTTGAGATAGAGATTCTATCCTGGTCCTTGGGCAAGCTTGCAAGAGTCGACGATGCTGATGAGTCACACTGCTGACATTGGGTTGACACCGTTGGACACCGTTTTGGTGTCTGTCTCGGGTAGCTTAAGAGCACCACTGTGTGTTCCTCAAAGCAGCAAGTAGTCTTTTTCTGCTTACTTACAGGTCCAGTTGTTCCTTTCCCTGAATATTCATTCATGCAGGCGCCCGGCTAGTCTTGTTAACAGTTCTGATTTGTAATAGTTTCAAGGGCTATGAAAGATTGCCAATGCTGATTCGTCTGCCGTTCTTATGCAGACGACTCTCAAGGGGATCAGGACCTGATTAACAGCATGCTGCCCAATGAGATACTGTGGCTTATCTTCACCAAGCTTGAAGAGCCCCGTGATTGGAGCGCCTCGGCGGTGGTCTGCCGGTAAGTCCAGGATTTGTGGTGAATGGAGACCACAGCGCTCTGGATATTCTACTCATAGTCTCTGAGAAGGTGCACCGAATAGAGCCTGAGAGGCACCTTTTCCTTCTCAGCATCTTTATGCGATGGGGTTTGTGGCTTGCTAAGTGGTTTTCAAGAGGGGCTTGACCAGAAGTTGCTGCAGACCTCATAAAAACAGCGTGCTTTTGTGATTCTATGGTTCTCTTATAGTGGAGATGGTTGCGATTGGCAGATTGTCTTGGGGGCAACTTTGTCAAGCTTCACAAGGATAGTCCCTTCAAAGCTACCCTTCAGGAGAGGGTGTGACCAATCCCCTTGTGATTGCTTTCCCGTCATCTTGAGGAACTCCCTCTTCATTGTCCCGTTACTTTGAGGAACTTTTTGGCAAGGAGAGTATGCACTCACTGACACCTTTCGAAAGCCCTCTGTCCCTTCAAGCTGGTGGTTGAACCAGCTCCCCTTTACCCTGCAAAGCGGAAATCATCTTCGGAAACCAGCGATCGACCCCAGTCTCCAAAGACTCGTTGCCAGTGCACTGAGCCCGTTTCCATCCGCATTTGTGCAGCATGCCCCAGAAGCTAACAACTTTTCGTAAGATGTCTGCTCTCCTTGAAGACCTGTTGTCTGCTTTCAACGCCCTCAGTCTAAACCCCTGGTCACTGCCTTCTTCCCAGTTCCTCCGCTCCCCTGCAGCAAGTGGCTGAGCCTCCTGCCTCCTTTCATCTTCTAAGCCCCCGCGACATTATCCTCAACCTAGTTCCTTCCATCTCCTGCAGCAAATGGCTGAGCCTACTGCCTTCTGTGATCGCGTGCGCCCCGAGCCCCGATGACCTCACCCTTTGCAAGAAGGAGCGCCGGCGGCGGCAGGCCCTCCAGCGGCAGCTGGAAGAACGCCGAGTCATTCTCGCAGGCCCGGTTGTCAGTGACACGCGCTTGCTCGCCCTCTCGGTCGGCGCGCACGGCAAGAACCGCCTGTCCAAGATTGAGTTCGTCGACTGTCCCAAGATCACTGACACCGGATTCTCGGCGCTGGCGTCGGCCTGCAAGGACCTCCGTTTGGTGTCAATCTCGGAATGCGGGCAGCTCTCGGGGGAGGCGTTTGCGGCGATCGGACACTGCCAAGGGCTGGAAGTTTTGCGCCTGCACGGGGCGGGAATCTCGGACTCCGCGCTCGGGAAAGTCGCGCAGGGCTGCGCGATGCTCCAAGAGCTGTCGCTGTCTGATTGCACAGCTGTTGGGAACGAGGGTCTGACGCACGTCGCGGCGGGGTGTCGACGATTGAAGCGTTTGGAATTGAGCGGGCAGAGCGGCCTGACTGACACTGGGCTTAAGGCGATGGAGATCCCCACGCTCAAGCACTTGCTGCTGAAGCGGATGCGCGGCGTGACGGAAACCGGGCTCGTGAGCTTTGTCCAGGGACCCAGCAGTCGGAAATTGCGGACGCTGACCCTCAGCCGGAGCCCTGCGGCGACGGACGAGGCCCTGTCGCAGGTCGCGCGGCACGCCGTGAGCCTGCGCGCGATCACCCTCTCGCGCTGCTCGCGCGTCACCAACAAGGCCCTCCAGGAGATCGCCTTGCGCAGTCCCTCGCTGCAACACCTGACCCTACTCTGCTGCCCGGGTATTGGCGACCAGGGTCTAGAGTTTGTGCTCAGCAGACGGTCAGACACGCTCGAGAAGCTGTGCGTGAGCAAGTGCAAGGGCGTGAGGGACGGCCAGGCGTTGGCGCTTGCCGGGCCGTGCAACTCGATGCGCGTGCTGGAGCTGTCGGGGCTACCGCATATGACGGACAAGTGCCTGGCGGCGGTCGTGCGGGCGTGCCCGAACCTGCAGGAGGTGGACTGTTCAAAGAGCCCAAAGGTGAGGGCCCGCCGACGGCGGGTTTTGCACAACAGCGGATTCCTTGGTAACATCCTGACAAGCGCGTCTCTGATAGGTCCCATTTTATGTTGACGGTTTAAGGACTCATTTCAAAAGTCCTACATTGGATTGACGGAAAGGCTAGTAAAACGAAACGAGCTGGGAGAGAACTTTATTGCTTCTGCTTGTGTCCCGGCGCCAATTGACGTAGGTCTTTCTGAGACGAAGTGGTACAATATGAGCGTTTTGACGGCACGAACGTAACAAGATCAAAGCACAGACTTGACCTGTCTGGCCTATATGCGGGTTGTTACACCTTTTGAAAGAACAATAGCTCCTGTTACGAAAGCAGGTCAAGGACTCGACGAGGATTTATAAGTCTGGACATCTGCCCGGACACATAGTGTCCCAGGCACAACTTGAAATTCAAGCATCTTCACTTCGAGAGAAGGGCCGCAGACTAGCATATTCTCTACCTCGTATCTCTGCCTTACAATGGACGGCGGGAACCCGCTATATTACTGCAAGTGCGTTCCTTATCCTTATTCAATGCTTGTCCTGTTCCACTGAGTCTTCTTAGCGATGAATGTATCGTGCGCTGCCCTTTGCAGGTGGGAGACGTGGGAGCGATGGCGCTCGCGCAGACTTGCAGTCGTTCCCTCAAGAACGTGTCGTTTCGGGGGTGCAGCAAAGTCACCGACAAGTCTCTCGCGGCGCTCTCCTTGTGCAAGTTGAAGGTCCTGGTGCTCTCGGGGTGCAGCATAAGCGATACTGGGCTCGTTGGCCTTATGAGGTCAACATGTGGTCGGAACTTGATAAGCCTGTCGGTCTCAAAGTGCGTCCACGTCACTGACGCGTGCCTGCCGCAGCTCGTTAACAACTTGAAGAATCTCTGGTCTCTGGACATCCGAAGATGTCCGCAGATCACGAGGCAAGGGATTAGGCTGCTGAATACGGGCCGGTTTGGCGCTAAGTGCACGATTCTGGATTCCCACCATAGTAGTGCTTCCGGTTGCGAGAAGGCAGGTGTAGAGTGTGCAAGCGGAATGAGTTCTCCGTCATCTCAAACGGAATGCCGGACGAATAGGAAGAGAAGTGTCACTGCGGAGAAGCCGTGCAGCAGGCCGCACTCGCAGCGAGCGTCATGGAAGATTCTAATGCAGTAGAACACACCACTATATAGAGTATACAGAGTGCAAAGTACCGGCTTTTAAGGGGTTAAATATTTCCAAGAAGCAATGTGTCCTCAAGTTGGCCAATTCCTTGTTGGCAACCACTTTTGAATGGTGTTGGTCAGGGCAATATGTTCGCCTGGCCTTCTTTTGACCGAGTATGGAGCCTGGTTGCTATATAAGATGACTGTTGCAGGTTATGCGTGATTGCACTTGCTTGCACTTGACAATGTAATGCGTATGATACTCAATTTGTTGGGAATCGGGTGCAGGATATAGGAGTTGACTGCATCATTATCAAGCTGCACTCTTGAATGTAGAGCTCGAAATCTGAGATTTATGAACTTACACAGGCAGTTCGTATGGCCATATCAACATTCCATGCATTTCCCTAGTTCAGAACTGGCCGTGTGCGAGCTTGTGTGTGCGTAAGGTACGTAGGCACACGTGCACGTATACCTTACATACAATTGGCTTACGTATACAAAGCTAAGCATGTGCGGAAGCGTGGCAGTGGCCAGCGGACTGGCGCCAGCCAGCCAAATTGCTTCGACTGGCCCGGGAGCTACACGGTTTGCATTGCTAGCTATTCCAACGTCCTATAGGAGCCGCCCGCGACCCGGCGGGGCTTGTCGATCAAGAAATGCCTGACCATCCCTTGCTCGATATATCTATTGACGACTCGATAGTGCTCGCCATGCAAGATTGCGGGATGCGGCGCATTCAATGAAGTAGTGGGATACAGCGTTTGCAGCTGCAGCAAGCAATACGTGTGGCGCTGCCGGTCTCATAATAGAGAAGATTGGAGAAATGCAGCCGGCCAGTCAATGACTGAAGCCGCGCAAATAAGATACCGCGGTATAACAGTAATATGCGAAGTTAAAGAATATGATGCAATCATTGAATGCGCGCACATGGCCGGCCGGCCGCGTCGGACTGCTGGGAAGACCGCAGCGGCCGGTCGCCCGGGTTTAGGAAAACCTCCGTCCAAACGCCACAGTCCGGCATCACTTTTGCCGCCCCGTCAATGTCCACGGCAGATTGATCACGATGACACACCAAATCAAGGGCTGAGAATGAAGATCTTATCGACCTGCGCTTTTAATCCATTGGCCAAGCGGAATCTGGCCCTGCTAGCCGCTGATTGGCTGAGAAGCTTGGAGCGCGCAACGGCCGCGCTTTTCGCGCAGTGTTAGACTCCTGCGCTTATTGTAGGCTCAAAATTGCGCACAGCGGCCTCATCCACTCTGAAATTTGGTCGCGCATTTTGGGACGAAGAAGAAGGAGGAGCTTTTTGAGGGAAGCGCAGGTGCAAAGAAGAAAGAAGCCACCACACAGTTTCTCGTGCCGCCAACGTGCTTCTGCTCCGCCGTTCACCTGCTCCCTGCAAATAGACGCAATGGCGGCCTCAGTAGCGTCCAAGGTGACCACCCTCAGCTCCGCCTTCATCGGCAACAAGGAGCTCTGCTCCGTGAAGACGACGAGGGCGTCGGTCTTTGTCAGCAACGTGAACAGGGCCCGGACTGTCTGCTCAGCAGAGAAGTCAGTTGGCAAGGCCGCCACCGCCATTGCCCTCGCTGCCGCCATTGCTGTTGCCACCCCCCAGATCGCCTCTGCTGATGTTGCTGGTCTGACCCCCTGCAAGGACTCCAAGGCTTTCGCCAAGAGGGAGAAGAAGGAGGTTAGCAAGCTGCAGAACAGGCTAAAGAACTACGAGGAGGGCAGCGCACCTGCGCTTGCTCTTCAAGCTAGCATTGACCGCACGCAGGCTCGGTTCGCAAAGTACGGCAAGCAGGGTCTGCTCTGCGGGACTGACGGCCTCCCCCACTTGATTGTGGACGGAGACCAGGCACATCTGAGCGAGTTTGTGTTCCCCGGGCTAGTGTTCCTGTACATTGCTGGATGGATCGGATGGGTTGGCCGGGAATACCTCATTGCTGTGAAGGTGAGTCTCGTTTTGGCAATTGCTAACTTCCCTGGACATTGCATGGTTTTCCCTGTTGGTTGTCATGGTTTCCATTCCTGAAAGAGATTGCTACTAAATTGCCGTGTCTGTCCTCTTGCCGTGCATTGAAGTTGTCAACCTCTTTTCTCTGCGAGCTATCCTGAAGGCTGAGGTTATTGAATTTGGTGTTGCTCTGGGTTGCCTGGTTGCTTAGGCTTCGGGGAGGGTGCACTCCTGGAATGTGCTGGAGAGACAGAGTCTGTTGCTCAGGCAACTTTAGCAGTCTCAGTGCATTCGCTGCCTCTTCAATAATTGGCTTCAAACAAACTGCAATATTGTATAGAGCCCTTGCTTCAATTGAACATTTGCAATGAGAAGCACTACGGCCTGCGTGCGACAGAAAGTTTTCTGACAATGGTTAATGGTCAAAGTAGGTTTTGACGAGTCTCGCATATCTAAATTGGTTTGGCATGCTTTTTGATGCATTCAGACCGCCTGCTTTGATCCGCTTGTTCCACTTATGTATCTTCCGATAATGATAGCGGTGTGTGACATATTATAGAGTCTCCTGGTGCCTTTTCTGCCGCTGCTCATCCTTTGTAGTCTGCCCGCTAGTAAGGTTTTTAAGTGTATGTTGGACTTAGGGCTCAATGAGCATTTGTGCAGCTTAGATATTTCATATTGTAGGTTGATAGGTTGATACTGAAAGAGAGTCCGCTCCCAAAGGTAGATAAGGCTTCACCTCCACAGGCTGTGTGGTTCTAGACTCTCTGAGCTTTCTGTAGGGAATGCTGTCATAGGCAAGGTTGTATCAGGTTGCAGGCACCAGCAGCATCTTGTCACAAATCCAAACTTTTACCTTTTAACACCGAGACTTGCAGCTTGTGCTCTGCGGTGCCGCAGTCGACAAGTCTGGACTAGCTTGATTCAAGGTTTACTTGTCTAGGGTTCTTGCTGTTTTTGAATACTTTCCTACTTTCCCACTAAAACCCTATCAATTGAGTTGCCTGTTCTTTATTCAAGTCTCTCTTCTTCTTCTTCTGTTTGTGCAGTCAACAGCAAAGAAGCCCACTGAGAAGGAAATCATCATCGACGTGCCCCTCGCCCTCAAATTGACCACCACCGGCCTCACATGGCCCATTGCCGCCGTCAGTGCCCTTAGAAATGGTTCCCTGATCGTTCCCGACAGCAAGATCACCGTGTCCCCGAGATAATCATTGCAATGCCACCGCTCGATGCTCATTGAGAGCAGTACATAAAGCAGGGACGGTGTTCAGCGAATGGTTCTAAAATGTGTCAGCAACGCTGGCTGGGCAGGCTAGCTCCATAAACGAGGTCGGCTGCGAGTTGGCAAACGGTCCTTGCTGCCGCAACTGGCCTCGAGCGAGAACGTTGTTCCGTTGATATTGTAGAACAGCATTTTGTTTATATTGTCCGCGACTGATTGAAGGAGACCCTGGCATTGCTTCCTGAATCTGGAAGAGATGTGATTGTGTTGAACTGGTGCGTCCATGCTACGGAAGCTGCTCAAAAGATTGGATGTCATTACTTCAAGCATAAGGTCTGACAATCTCGACATGGTTGAGTATTCCATCAGCCCTCTGAATTCTCAAAAAGAGAATATTCTGCTTGGGAAATGGTGCGTTGATTGTCGCCATTACATAGAATCTGTGCTGCTGCTAGGCTGGTCATACCAAAATAACGTGTAAGCATGTATAAGTTGCAGCAATGACGGTCTTTCATCTGCACGCCACGTTCTTTAGTCCAAAGTCTTTACATTCGGGGTGGCATAGTCTGTAACTTAAATTGGAGGGCACAGTCAATAACTCCGGAATACCAGACTGCATTTAACACAAGGAGCTTTGGGCGGGAACACCATATATTGTGCATTGCGACTGCACATGTCCGTATACTGTACGTAAGCAACAGAAATCAACAAGTTCGTGGTTTGAGGCAACTAATCTACATCCATGGCAATCGTTTCCAATTCACCGACATAGAACAGATTTTGAGGTATTCTGCAATGATTTACGTTACTGCAGTGCTACGGCACTTTGTTGATAAGACATAGTCTGGGGTTTCAGTGAATCTGCAGGGTGGATATCTAACCGAGAAAAGTTTGTTGAAGCGAACTCAAATCATTAGCCATCGGTCCTAGTGACGAAGCGATCTCAGATTATTGTGTACCATGCGAAGATTGTGGCCTAACTTGCTGTGTCTCATGACCATCATGACGCCTCAATGAGCCATACAATGGCACCCGAGTATAAGCGTGGCTCTGGTAGATAAGCTGAGTGTATCTCGACGCTTGCTCAACAAACTCCGAGCAGAAATTGCAGTCAACACTTGCCCACCTGTCGTTCTCAGACTGCAGATGTTCTGTCACATCACTTACATGTGTGATGCAAGTTAACATGAGCGCAAACAGCTTGTTTGACAGCGGTGCATAAAGTGCTCAACTCCGACTCACTTAGAATGGTTTGAAGTCTGTCATGGCCCATCTGGCTTACGCCAATTCTACTATAAAGGGTGAGACAAAAGTGCAGATGGACTGTGCTTCTTGCTGAGGGAATACTGTCCAATCCCCCACCCTCAGCCTAGCAAATCCTTTACCAGGACAGGTCGTCGGACGGCATTGGTGAAGCCCTGTGGAACAGATCAGGAATGCAATCAATGAAAGGTCTGTATCACAGCGGCTTCCGGTTGGGGACTTCTCAGGATCAGCCGGTTTGTCCGAACCAAGGTTGCACGTAGAAGGCGACAGAAGGGTCTGGAGCAAAAGATGCACAAGACTCAACAAGTGGCAACCAATCATGTCGTGATGGAAAGAGAAGCTGTCCATTCTCTGGATCAACACGTGAGAGCGGGCTCAACTATCTTGGCATCAAGGTCAGCGATGTATGCACACTGAGAGAAACGCAGTCACAAAAGCAAACTCCGAAGGTAGATCAGAGCAAGAAACGCGAAAGGCTGGAAGGGATCTAGGGCAAAAAGACATCGCTCTTGGAGCCGCCATTAATATTATAGAGATGATTTTCTAGATCTGGAAAAGTCAATCCAAGGAAACCTCCAATCCCATACAAAAATTGCTTGGGATTGGAGAAATCCTACAGACACAACCGGAAGCGCGAGGGAAACGGTGGTGACGTCACCTCGTGGAACTTGTAGAGCACGGGCATCGCGTCGCGGATGTTGGTCACGGACTGCACGGGGACCGCCTCCTCTTCGACGCCGTTTCGTTTTAGAGCGGGCTTCTTGAACCTGCAAAACGCAAGACCAGATGTTTGAAAAATCAAAGAGGAACTTGGACTTTGAGGAAGTGAAAAGAAAGAGACGCTTGTTCGCGTTGATCTTATAAGCTGGCGTGTATCGGTCAGGGCGGGCTTCTTGAACCTGCACATGATGCGCACCAAATGTTTCAAAAATGCGAAGAGGAACAGGGGGAATAGAGAAGAACGAGCGACGCCTTGTCCTTGTGGCGCTTTTTCAAGCCGGTGTCTTTGGAGATAGGGTGAGCTTCCTGAACCTCAAGCACCAGATGTCATTGGTAAGGGAACAGGGAACCAAAAAAGTTGTAAGGGACGCTTGTATGCGAGATGAGGGATGTATGTTAGGGCGGGCCTCTTGAGCCTGTGAGAGCGCAAGCACCACATTTGTAAAGAGGGGAAGTGAAGAGGGAGACTGAGGAACTCGAAGGATGAGGGACGTCTGCTGTGGCGCTTCTGAAAGCCGGCGTGTGTGGGTCAGGCGCGCTTCTTGACGTCTGCAGATCGCAAGCACCAGATGTTCGAAAAGGGGAAAAGGAACAGGCGACCTGAGAGATCGGAGGGTACGGGACGCTTGTCGATAAGCCGCGCCTTGTAAGGATTAGGGCGAGCTACTTGAAACAGAATGCGCGCACCAGATGTTCAAAGGGAAAGCGGGACAGGAGACCGGAGCAATTGAGGGCATGCGGCGCTGCTGGGGCGCTTCTACGGCGGGGCGGACTTCTCAATGTCTCCAAAAGTGCGAGGGTTCGGAGAGGTCCTGAGTCATGAAGGTACAGGTTTACTTGCTGGGAGAATTAATCATCTTTAGGGAGGGTTTTCAGCCTTTCAAAACAATTGAAGATGCCTCATATTTTTTGGGTGTAACTTTACTTGATCTTTCAAAGAGTCGAATAAATCAAAGAACTTGTTGAATAGAGAATAAGCCCCAAAAAATGGTAAAAGATCAAAGCATAAAGTTCTCAGATGTGGCCATTTGAGACATTTTTGATGCATGAGCTCAACCACCAGTTTCGCCATGCTCCTCACCTTTCAAAGTAGTTCACATACACCTTTGCCGCCGCTTTGACGACCTTCTTCTCCAGCTTCCCATTCTCCGCCTTCCGGGGGGGCGCTTCCGCCCGGCCGTTCAAACCCCCATTCTTCGAAGCGCCTGGCTCGGCCTTTGCGGGGCTCTTGGCGGGCCGGCTCCTGGTGACGTCAGCGGGGCTGCCGCTGACGTCACCAAGCTTCGAGGGGTTTACGGCCGCGGCTCGAGCGGCACGTGCGGCGCCCTCCTTTCGGATGATTTGCAGGGAGACCTGAGGAGGGGCGACAAGAGAGCCAGCTTGAGTGATGGGCAAATCGGATGCTCGACTCGGCTTGATTTCGGCATCCCGATCGAATGTAACGCTCGTGGAGACGTAGCAGGTACTCGCACTTGCGGGACAGCTTGCCTGCCCCAGAACCCTCGCCAGAATGGGAAAAGCCCTCAAGCCCAACTAGGCCCCTCAAGTCTCACCCTCGTACCTATCGTTTGGATGAGGACTGCCAGATCGAAGAGGTTCCAGATATAACAGCTTGCTTTGTTTCGTACTCTCAATAAAAGACTTGGGATGCCGCTAAAGTTTGGCGATGAAGAGGTTCTCTCAGACCATTGCACCAAGAGTGCGGGCTTGACATCCAACATGTGAACAAACTGAACTGCAATAGATCAGATTATCGGAGTAGGCAACTGAACAGGCTCCGGGGCACAAGGAAATGTTGCTGACGTCACCCTCACCTCGTGAGCCAGCATCTCCCGCAGGGTGACGGTGAGCTCGCGGTGCTGGAAGGGCCGGCCCTGCGGAAACGGAACGGCAGCGTCAGCGGATTCCGCGGGAGTCAACGGAACGAAGCGGAAAATTCAAGTATGTTGGGGCGGGGAGACCCCGCCAACGGCATCTAGGCGCGTTACTGACGAGGATTTCAGATGTTCGTCGTTACGTGGCCGGTCCTTCAGCAGGGTTGAAAGGACGGACAGTTGGATTGAGACTAACGGGCCTTCCAACGGACTCTAGCATTATTTCACAATGGTCCCACTAGCATTCCTTGCACGTTTGAGTAACATAAAAGAAAAGGACGTTCCAAACGACTCAATTGTGTGATGTTGTATCTGCTGGAAGCAAACAATATTTGCCCGTCGACTGATCAGAACAGGATTTGCAACCCCGTGAGACCGGCTTCCACAAGCAAAGTCGGACATTATCTTAGGTTATGTGCAAAACGGAGACTACAGCTTGAACACGTTGACATGTTCAGGACTGATTCTGACCACGATTCGTTCAGCCTCTCCAGTTGCAGGTCGTTGGGGTTTCAAGCGTCCGAGCTATACGCTATGCGGAGACCAATGGCTCCGTTCGTCCTCGACAAGGACGAACATTTACTGCTGAGAATCTTCGCGCCCAAATGACGTCAGGGTCACACCGATTCTCCTCACCTCAAAGGCGGCGAGCCTTCCCAATGCAGGATCGAGTTGCGGACCGGCACCCGGGTTGACACCAAACCCGGTCTGCAACTTGTAAGTGAAGCCGTACCCGATCATGGTGTCAACCAGCTCGGAGACCTCGCCTTTCTCCTTCTCGGAGAGAAGCTGAGAAGCGACCTGAGCAACAAAAGTTACGCTTAAGTCGTCACGTCTTTTCGTCCTCATTCTGAAGCAGCTGTAGTCCTGAAAGATCTGTAGGACGGGGGCGCACTCGGGCAACCGGCGAAGCGGATTGGCGTTGGCTACACACATATTGCCTTTGCGTGAAAAGGGATTCGACAACACGGTAAGCGCTAATACCTCCAAGGCTTTCCTGAACCAGCTCAAAGGCTCTCTTCGGACCCCCTTCTGTCGAAAAACGCGGGAGACATTCGTCTCATTTGCGGTGAAAAAGCCTAGCCTTGAAGACCGATATGATATCTCACCGGCGGAGAGACGGCGGCGCGACGATCTCAACGGACTAGTCTGATTCCACTCTGTAGCAGACTGCCTAAAGTGCCTGAACCTTCCAATGAAACAAACATCGAGAACACCGTGGTGGTAGTAGAACAACGTGTGCTCTTGTACACATAGTCACATCGCTGGATCTCTAATGAAAGGGTTGTACGACCCCGCTCACCGGTCGGAAAGTGGGAGGCGCGCAATGCCGAACAGAGGTTTCAAGGTATCCGGACTTTAGGGTTTTAGAGATTGGATACCGGCCCTCATCCAACGAGCTTCTTGCGACTCCCTCATCGTCGTAAGCACCCTTTCGCCAACAAGTCATAACGGTAGAGCGTTTGTTGTAGTGTGAACTTAGCTTAGGAATATCTAATTTGAAAGTCAAGCCCGCTCACCGGTCGGAGAGTGGGCGGTGCGACGATGTCGAGCAGCGGGGAGACCAGGTCCCGGATGATGGCGCTCGGGTTGAGTCCCCGGGCAACCCCAGGGTCCATCTCCATCTGCCACGACTGGAGCAGCTGCCGCTGGGAGGAGTGGTCGGCGCGGAACCTGCGGGTTAAGCGTGGGAGGTTAAGACAGGAGTGACTCTGGTGGTTAGCTTAAACCCGATCTTGAGTTGTGGCTTCCCTCGATATTATGCTCCGCTGGGTGGGGTGCTCGGCGCGGAACCTGCGGGTTAAGCGAGGGAGTAATGAGAAAAGCCGGGGTGACTCTGGTAATTAGCACTAACCCGACTTCGAGTTGTGGGTCTGTGATGTCCTCCCGCAACTCGAGCTGCCGCTAGGAGGGGTGGTCGGCGCAGAACCTGCGGCTTAAGCAAGGGAGGTTAGGAGCAACAGGGTGGTTTTGCCAGCCGAAACAAGTTTGGTCATTAGCCCAAACCCAGTTATTAACCTGTGGATTTGTGGTGTCTCAAAGCGGTCGCTGAAAAATACGACGGAACAACTTGTTGATCAATCACCAGGGGAAAAGACACCCGATGTATTGCAGCTAAGAAATTCTGAGCCCCTTAATAGGTTCGCTTCGAGGGCCATAAAATGAGCCTGATGCTATTGAGAGCTAAAACGCTATTGAGACCGACTCAAAACGTGGAAGTATTTGGAGTGGCGCACAGGCACCGACACAAAGGTAGCCCTTCAGAAGAAAATCTAGTAGCAAAAGCACAGGATCATTCTGGAGACTACGGCGCTTTTGAGTGAACTTTCCCATGTTCAACCACAGTTATCTTAACTGCTCTCATTTGGAACCTGTTTGATCTAGTGTTCTACTCCTTGTCAAAGTAAATAACTGGTCAGTCTGTTAGAAGCTAGGAAACATAGGGTATCTTGCGATGGGCCGCTCACTTGTTGTAAGTTTTGGGAAACTCAATGTGGGGCCGCTCGGGGTTGGCGATCAACCGTCTGACGGCCTGAAGAGTGGCCGGTTGATACGCTGCGGAGGTGACACGTGGCAATCAGTGCGGGGTACAGTAAAAGCGCCAAGAACGTAAGCACTAAGAGCACAAAAGGCGCTGCAAATCCACACCAAAAAGCTGAGTCCCACGAAGAACATGGATGTGAAAAGAAGGAAAACGGGAGAGCCAGGTTTTTGCAGGAACTTTGCGCTCCTCAGTGATCTGGAAAGGCACTTGAGGACCATCAAACCGCGATAAGGAAGTTGATTACGCAGAGCAGAATTCTCCTGCTACTGGACATATTGAAACCTGGCCCAAAATCTCAATCCGATTATCGCAGAAACGCTGGAAGCGTTAAAGCAGTTGGTTCGAGAGCTGCGCAGGACTTTCGGGGAACATTGCAAGTGGCAGCTCATTGTCCGATTGACCGATCCAAGAAAGAACATAATTGAGCCACACAATATTTCCAAACCACGAATTTTGAGCGCCGCGCACACGTGAGAAGAAAGCGCTGCTCGGCTTGCACGCGGCGATTGGCGAGTCCAAGTTGGCAAACAAAAAGGCCTAACGAGAAACCTGAGATGCAACTAAAATACCGTTCTGATAACTCATTTCAGTACCTTCGACACTGAAGATGCAAGATTCACCTTTGAACTTCCCGGACATATCCGAGCATTACTGCTGAAAAGAACCATTTTCTTCGATTCTCGCTGATGTACCCATTTTCCGGCAGGGCAAGTAAAGATGAAAAGCCAGGATGTCGGAATCGGCCGCACTCATGAAGAAAAGGTGTTGGCTTGCGTGCACACGGCAACAGAGATGTCCAAGGTGCAAAACGCAGAAGTCTGACAGAAACTTTGGGGATGAAAGTAGAATGGAAAGTATTCTTGAAAGGAGAAAACCCGGCCCGCACCCATGAGGAAGAATGTTGCCGTGCGTGCAAGGCAACAGGACTTCCAAATTGCTCAAGGCCGACAGAAACTGCAGGAATGACAACGAGGTAAAACTGTTCTTAGAAGAAAGGATTCAGCCCGCACCCATGAGGAAGAAGTGCTGTCTCGAGTGCACGCGTCGGCTCATGAGCTCCGAGTCGCCCATCCATTCGAGGCACTCGACGGTCTTCTGGAGCGTCCCCTCGTGGTAGCGCATCCGCAGAAAGTTCTCGTGGACGCCCTCCATCACGAAGTCGTGCTCGCCGCTGCAACGCGAAAGATTTAAAGCTTCGGTCGACAAAGAATAGGTTTGAACTTAGTCGAGAAGTAGAGAAACGGGTTCTTAAGATGAACAAATCTGTGATTACGCTTTACGAGAGAAAAGCCTAAACCTGCCTGGGCGTCAACTGAGCATCTCATTTCTTCGAAGAGGCCGGATCAGCTGAAAATAAAACCAACAAGATTCTTTGTTTGAAGCCTCGGACGTCAGGCTGCTCGCTAACATTCACGCCTGTGGGCGAGAATAGTACTGGAATGGGTGACCTTCCGGACCAGAAGCGTGCAAACCACAGCACCGGATCGAATCAGCTGAAAGGGCTAGCACCAGTGCTTTCTTGCTTATCCATACCGAAGCTCGCTCATCCTCGCGACCTTACGGCATCATAATAACGGAAGAACGAGGAACTAGACAGGGAATGAAACGCGCTCACTAGCCGCTCAGGAGGTTCTGTATCCGGTGGAACTCCTGCTGTTCCGCGTTCCGCGTCATCGTCCCCTGCATGGCGGGCGAGCCGGAGAGCGCGGTTCCGGTTCCGGCCTTGCTCTTCTTCCGCTGGAAGAGCTCCGTCCAGATCTCGAACACGTTGTGGGTCATGTCCTTCCGGCCCACCACCTGGGACGAGATGTCCGCCTGCGGAACGGCGGAACGAAAGAAGAGTTTGAGGAGACTTTCTAGGGTTCTCGAGATTCGGGCACGATGTAATGATCAAGCGTCTCTTTCATCACCTCTTGGTTTATGCTGATTATGGAGCTAGCAAAATGATACATGCGAGGCGGCTGCGACTCTGCGAGCTGATCAGGTTCCAACATGTCCACGAGCATTTGGCACGGACACTGCATCAGTCGAGTGCCGTGTTTGGAATGCGTCATCCTGTCCAGCCCTAGGCTCCGGCACCAGGGAGGCAGGAAAATGACGTCTGCCGGGATAAGTGTCTGGGGCCCCTCTCAAGAGCTCTCGAGAGTCCTCACCAGTCGGAGCGCCTTGCCCCGTCGGTGCAGGAACTGGAGGGTGTTGAGGCACGCGCGCACATCGCACTCTGCAGGGTTTGGAATCTTGAAGGTTTTAGGGGGAAAGCAAATTCATTGGAACAACGACAGGGCTATATTTGCTGTGCTGTGAGACGTAATCTGCGGAGAATTCTAAAGGGAAGCGCAAGCGGGAGGGTGTTGAGGCACGCACGCACATCGCACTCTGCCGTGGGAGCGGATGATCAGCAAAGATGATGGAAGCACACACTTGTTGATATGCGGGGCGCAATCTGTGGTGAATAGTAAGGAGCAAACGGAGCAGGCTCGGACGACCGAAGTGCTCGTTAGAACAATCTGCTAGAAGCGGAGGCGCGAGGCGACTCAAGGAAACGTGGAAGAGGGAATGAAGCGCCCATGTAACGAGTTTCAGCTCGAGCATATTGTCCAAAGTGTCCTTGCCTCCTGACTTGCCCTTCCTAAGTAGGCGACTCCCAAAGGAGAAGTCCGCATGAGTAACTGCAACGTGAGCATGACGTCACGTACCTGTGTGCTCGCAGAGCGCCGTCAGCGCGCGCGTGTCGGCGCTGTACCCCTCCTTGGTGCAGATGAACTTTAGCCTGAAGGGATCGCATGATGTCAGCGGGCGGCAGGAGACGTCAGCGGAAGACAAAACGTCATGCTGCCGTCAAGAGCGTTTGCAGTGAGAGCCAAAGGAAGCGTCCGAAGTTGTTCTAGATCCAGCTGTGAGAAGGTTGTGACGAGCAACACCGTGTTTAGCTCGTCCAAAAGTGGGAGACTGATAAGGAGGAACAATGCCACGTTTTCCAGAATACGGGTGACCACAAGGGCTTTCAAATGCTCACCTGGTCGCCAGCCGACTGGGTGCCGGGGGAGCAAACACGAAAACCCTGCACAAAGTTCCTGCTCAGTCAAAGTGCAGAGTACACGTGGACACATACTGAATGTCTCTTGCAAGTGATAGCCGAGCAAGCGATCAGAAACCCTGAAGCACTGCCTTGAATTTTGCTTGGTCAGATCAGGTCTCAGAAAGACGGATCCGTTTTGTCGATCGTCCGGACAGCAACAAAAGGGAGCAGTAAAGACGATTCCCTTAGGAAATCACATGGGCGCACGCAGAGCCTTTCGTCTCCTGTGGTTCTTCAAGAAGGACGTTTTCCGCCCATCCTAGAAAGACGCTGAAGACCAATATGATGGATTTGCATCGGCAGACAACGGACACGGATGAGAAGCGCCAGAAGCGTCGTCCTTTACTTACACCGTTATTTTAACAGTGACGAGAAAGCGAGTCCAGAAGAAGACAATAGATCGGTGAGACCTGGGACTTACTTGGCGACTTGTCGCAGTTGCCGGAGCGCGGGCGCGTACATGTCGTTGCAAATGCAGATCACCTGGAGCCACATTTGCAAGAAAAACAGCTGGTTGGAAAAGTATCTGATACTCAGGCTCTTTGTCGTTTGAGCCTGAATCTGATCATGTCGAGGAGAATCTTAGCCGGACGGGTTCTGGATGGGTTGACGGTCCTGGTGAGCGAGCGGTTCCTAGGACTACTGATACCAAGCATCTCTCAAACCTCTGAAAAAGGTCAACAGCCGGATATGTTGCACAATCCATCAGGTACAGAAAAGAATACGTCGCACTCTCAAACAGGACGGTTTGAGGGATTTCCTCCAAATGCAGAGGGGCTTCCAGAGCGTTGTTACGAGAGAAAGACGGCTGGTCTGGCATTTGTCAAGCACATTTGCCAGTGTCTTTGAGAAGAAAGGAAACAGAGACTACTGACAGCAGCTCCCGGTCTACCGCGTTTTTCGACTCCGTACCAATTTTATGCTCCCTTTCACTGCAGAAGGTGTTGTTGCAATTTGGCAAGATTTCACGACGCGCAATCATCATCATCAAGTGGCAAGGGTTCCAGATTCACGGCAAGGCCAGAGGCGCCTTCTAAAACGCGCATCGCCCTCCGACCGAGCACGTCTGACGTTGCCACGTTTTCGTCACAGGGGACAATCACTTTTGGTGGGAACCAAAGAGAGGATAGGCTTGAGCTTAGGGAACGAGCCACTGACCGGCCGGGAGAGCTTCTTGACGGCGCCCTTCTTTTTCTTCTTCTTGCTGGGCGCCAAGTGATTGCCCCCCGCCTCGTCTGCATCCTTGTCCGAGTCTCTGCTGCCAGATGCGCCGGCATTTACCTACAGGCAAAGAGTAAAATGAGCTGTCGTCCTCAATCTGGATTGCAGAAGGGATGAACAGCCCAAGCGCCGCGTCGGACTCGTTTCAATCGTGAAGCAGTTACTTCGAGGCACGTGGTCGTTACAGCGGCAAGAAGGTGTGCCCAAAGTAGTCATTGTCTCGCCGTTTCCGCGCACTGCCAACTCAGCTGATGAGTCAGGCTAGAAGAGATTAAAGCGAAGAGACATGACGAACGGCGATGTGAGAGATTCTCTTCTTGGATTGGCAAGAGAGGGCGAACGAGCCTGAGACCGCTGTCCCGTTCACGGGTCCGTGGCACCAATCGCAACGATTGCTGTGGTTTGAAAGTATTGCTAATTCCTTGAGTGGGACAATCAGCGCGCTGCAGGCCAAACGCTTCTGTGGAAGTCAAATGTGCAGAGGTGCAGAGGCTGGTACACGGAACCACTTACGATCGCCAGAAGCGCGTCGATTGCACCTTTCCCCTCCGCCCCGTTCAACGCGCCATCGATCTCGTCAATGACCTGGGCGTAAGACAGAGAGGGAGTCTTCACACCCGTTCAGGGCACTCGACAGACGCAAAAGTGGCGGGCCCAACAACGGTCATTACATGAATCAAGCACATTTCGAGCATGTACTTCCATGCGGTCGCAGCTGCACAGTTTGAACCGAGGCGTGCAGCTTCCAGCAACTGCATATCTTCATAAATAGAAACCCACTCTCATTGGAAAGCATCTTACAGCCTAAGACATGGGTCCACGTGGCTTTGGTCTATATCCAGGAGCGTATTCTCACCAGGCAGTTGGGCCGCCGGTCGCCCATGACCGGTTGCATCTGCACTGCGTCCAGGATGCGCTGCTTGAGAGAGTTCGCACTGCGGTCGTCGCTCGCGTTCACCTGTATTAGGGATCGCACGATGCGCCTTAGCTCTCCGGGAGACCTGGTTTTGCTTCCACAATTCTAGGCCTCCAGGGGCTAGACTTTTGGTGCAAAGAGATTTATTTGTCGCCAAGAGGTGCCATATACACCTCTGAAAAGTGACGTCAAGGACTCAAGTCATCGAAGGTGCAGTACTCGATAACATTTCTGCACGCCTTTGATACAGATTGCACTAGCAGATTGCCACTTCACCTCGACGACCCGGTATCCGCAATGATGAGCCGCCACGTGGGCGAGCGTCGTCTTCCCCAGGCCCGGCGCCCCGCACAGCAGCAGCACCTGGAGAATGTCCACGTGTCAGCATCTTTTGATCTTGAAAAACGGTTTGGGTAAAAAACTCTTTTCTCTCCACCAAGATAAGGGTTTTGGAACCAGCATTGTCTCACTTTTGTCATCGCTTTGTTTTCGCTGACCTCGATCGCTCCGACATGAGTTGGCGTAAGGAGCGGGAAATGACGCAAATCTTCTGCTTTTGAAGCCATCGAATGGGCTTCCCGCACAGCCTCTGCCCTGGGAATTATCCGAATCTTGAATTTCTTGCCGGGGAAAAGAAACCAGAGGGCAAAGCAGACGCCACTTCTACTCTTGGCGCGAACTTTTAAACCCCTGACGCATCTTTTAAAATCCTGGAAACTCCGTTGCTGGACCAATTTTAACATCTGACCACCCAAGAACTTGATAGGGCAACGAATGAAGCTCACTTTCTGCTCCGGCCTCCCATCGCTCGGCTTCTTGAAAACAGGCGCTTGCAGGGCGTCACCAAAACCCCTTCCTCCCCCTCTGCCCCCATTCTGCTGCTCACCGAAACCCCTCCCTCCCCCTCTGCCCCCATTCTGCTGCTCACCAAACCCCCTTCCGCGCCCCTGAAACTTTGCCTCCTTCAGATGTTTCCAGTCGGGACGGTCCCCCCCCCTTCCCCCGGGCTGAAGCCCCGTGCTGTTTCTGCCCCCTCGAGCGGTGAAGCCTCCCCGGTAGGAAGCGACTGGGGCGTGGGCTACGAAGGAGGTCGGGGGCCGGGAGGGGCGGTGGAAGACGCAGGGGTCCCATTCCTTTATCCAACGCAGAACCTGGGAGAAAAGAAGAAGCAAGGTTCAGCGGAGTTCGAACATGTTAAGCCGCACATTACCGAACTGTTTGGTTTTCGTCCAAAATTAGGATTCAGGAGCTTGGCATGCACAGAAAGTAGTAAAAGTCCACAAGGAGACCGGAAACCGTCGTTCTTTCGGTTATATCTATGTAAGCAGACCGAACCCAGAAAGAAAAACAGAACAGCGTATATGTCGTCCAGCGACTAGTTTCCAATCACCATGTGAATGACGTCGAAGTAAGAGCTGGTCTAGGCCAAGGCTACACAAGGCGACCTTCCTGCCTGAAATCTGGAAGTGTTAGTTCTCAATATGAATATCGAAGAAGACATCCAGTTCGACCCGCCTCCCTTCAAGGTTGATCTTTGTAATGCTCTGCAGTCCTGGAGATAATGTTGACAAGTACCAATGTGCCCAAGGATAACGCGCACATTTCAAGGTTGCATTGAATTTAACCCCTAAGTGACCTTACTTTCGTCTAAAAAGTTGTTTAGTCGGCCTGCTCCAGTTACTGGATCCAGCGACACCCTAGTGTAACAGGCTCCATCCGTAGCTCAAAACGGGAAGCGACGCATTCAGACGATAAGAATGCGGAGATTGCGTTTCCGTTCTCGAAGATCCTGTTTCCGTTTTCACAAAGCAAACAGATCGTCCGCTCTCTGACCTCCCGGTTGGTTTGCTCGTCGCTCAGCAGCTCGGTGAATGCGCGCGGGGCGTACTTATCCACCCAGAGCATCTCCTCCTGCGGACCGTCCGACATCTCGACGTCGGTCTCGGACGCAGCCTGCAGCTTCTGCGCCAGCACCTCCGAGTCCTGAGAAAGGCGATTGTCGCGTTGTCTAAGCTTCGCAACTGAATCTGAATTCAACTAATATGAACTTTCGCAAGGGATGTAATGAAGTTTGGCGCAATGAAATCAATGCGACCTATCTTGAGATGTCGAAGAGACTTGCAGGAGTGAAAGCAGCACACGCTTTTGTTGTTTACTTGAAAAACGGCCTCTCTCTGTAGGTGCCAGGCGGGGAAGTGAAAGGGGCCAATCCGAACAAAATATTAATGCTTTGAAAGTCTCTGGGGCCAGCAACTGGGGCCAGCAATCGAATTCTAAACCTTACCGAATTCCTGCACACCAACATGCTCTACGACTTTGTCTTTGTTTCCTTCGCCGTTTTCCTTTGGCACCTCCTGTTTGCCCGCCGCTCACCTTGATCGCTTGCTCCAGCCTTTCCTGCTCGATCCTCTCCATCAACTTCTCAATCGGCTCCCCTAGCAACGGCTTCCCTCCAAGCCCCTCACTTTTGTCCCCAGGCGCTTTAAACAGCTCTCGCAACTGCCTTGCACTGGTCACTCTGGACCCCCCTCCACCATCCAACTGTGCGTAAACCCGCTCGCCAGTCGGCCCCGTGATTGGCATGCAGTCGCCCTCGATCTCGGCTGCGATGCGGGACAGCTTCTTGGCTGGGGGGGGAGATGTGGGACGGGCGCTCGTCGAAGGCGAGCCTGCAGAGGCAACAGAAGTATCGTTGACTTCTCCTTTTTGTTCCCCTCTTTCCTTATGTTTGTCAGAACTTGATTTTATATGCTCTAGGCAGTTGTGAACTGCAAGCCTGCTTGGGGGGCCGCCTGCTGGGTGTTTCACACAAAGATTTGAGACGATACAGCTTTGCTCAAACTGCCTCTGTAAGGATGCATCCAATCAAGTCACCACCAGGAAGAGAGGCCCACACTAACGCCGCAACAAGAGCCCCCACTTTTCACGGGGGCGCCATGAGGGGCCTCTCATGAGAGGCCCACGACCCTCAATGCATCAGGGATCCATCCGCTTCACCTGTATCCTCTGCAGGGGGGGGCCTCGGTGGAGACCATGCGCCATCCCCCCTTCCAGACGGGGGCCGCGGTGGTGACCACGCCCTCTCCTGTCTACCGCTCGTGCTTGGAACCTCATCTGGTGCAGGCTCATCGAATGTTGGCCGCGGGGGGGACCAGGCTCTAGCTTTTGGAGCCCCCGTCTGGGAAGGGCCTGGGGGTTCCTCCGTTCGGGGCTTCTTTGGGAGGCCTGCCGTGCAACAGAAAGTCCTCATCTTATTCTGGTTTGATCAAGATGGTCACCACAAGAAACATGTTCAGTGTGTTTGTCTGCCATCTGTTTCACTGGGGTGCCCCTCCCCGGTGCTGCATTGATCAGTTACCATGAGCCTCGCTTACTTTGAGCGTTGCAAGCTAGTTCTCCATTCTGTCTGTGCTGCTAATCAGCAGGACATCTGTGCAGAACGTTGAAGCAGGTTGCCAACGGTCCCATGCTTCCTTTCAATTGGTGGTGAATCCATCATAGCTCTCACAAGTTGTAGAGCCGACCCCACGATTCACGATTCATAAACTACTCGGCATAGTCTACTGTAGCAGGGCAGAGTTTCCTTACCATTCAGCACAACTGGGGGTTTACTCTCAGGTTGGCCGTCCGCTGCTCGCTTTTTGGATGTGTCCACCACCTCTGCAACAGCATATCAAATCATGCTCATGATAATCAACTGGGTTGAGCAACAGTTGGATCACCAGTCCCTTCTACTTACTCCAGGTGGTCCCTCAGAAATTGGCAAGAAAAGACAGGGCCATTTGGTTGTAAAGGTCAATTCTGGGGGACTACTAAAGTCGATTGGCATTCAATCCAATCAGAACCAAAAACATTTTCAAAACGCAAGCTGAATTGGCCCACTAAGCACGAGGAGGAGCTTTCTCAGAGAAAGCATGGATGTTTTTCCACAGAAGACTAATGGGCAAATTGCTGGAGAGGACCAAGTGCAGTTCTAAGACTAAAGTGAGATCTATTGCAAACACACCCTCAAATTCGTCCAGGTCCTCCGGAGGCTCGAAATCTTCCTCGTCAGGAAACTCTCCCTGGGCCATCCATTCCAGCTCGTCAAAGTCTGGTTCCTCCATCTTCCAAGCACACGCTGATCTACAGCAAAAGCCACCCGCTCCACTGCATAATATCTCTCTCTAAATCATCAAGAGCATGCAATGCAGCCCGTACACCATGCCAATAGGGGTTTGATAAGCTTCTTCGGCTTTGCTTCGAGTTCAAGTGAGACAGACGTTCAATACAAGCATTTCTTACACCACAACTTCGAGCTGGAGCCCCTGGATTATGGGCCCCCATGGGTCAAAATTTGAAGCTCAGCACCTAACCATTCGCGCCAGTTTTGCGCGATCCTGACCGTTCGATGACTACGATCGACGATAATGATTGAAGGGCTATGTTCCGAACCCAGCGGTTTAAGCCCTTCGTTGACGCAAGTTTTGCAGCTTGCTTCCCTGCACAGAGCTCTACATATGTAGCGTGGATTAGGGTTTGAGCTGTCCAGAAAAACTTTAGGAATGCAAATGATTTTCTCCAAGTTGCAAAGAGCGCCCTGTGCTTTCATTCTGGCCCTGGAATCATCCACTTGAAATCCATCCTGCGGCTCTCCTGTCCCTCTGCTCGTGCAAGTTGAATCGCTGCATTTGAAAGCTTGCAACGACGCCAGATTGGATACGTGCCAGGGGGCAGTGGCTAAGAAGGTTCAGGGCAATGCTGTGATGGGTCCTAAAAGGTGGCATGGCCTGCTGATATCCTGTAGATAATAGCGACGGCAGCATGACATCAGCAGCTCGGGCGCCAGGAGCGGGCACCGGTCAGAGCACTCTCACCCTTCTGATGCAGAAGAAGGAGAAGCTGGAAGATGAGCTGCGAGGGGTGGAGAAGCAGGTGTGAAAACATTCCACCGGCTATGACATTCTCTAAAAGCGTGGTGAACTTTCTAAGCACAGATGGATGATGATTTGATTGGCCAGATTGAAAGGTTGCAATCATGAAAACGTCCATCTCAGGCAGGTAAAGCTTGCCTACTAGAGACTTCAGTGCACATGCTTATGACGATCTTGGTGCACGTCTTGTAGCACGTATGGTTCAAGCTTTCATGAACGAACTTGGCGGACACCACAAACTTACCACCACCATGCGCCTTCCAGCTGGTGACATGACACTGCGTTCTGATTGTTTCCAAAGTATTGTTTCAAATCTATTCGAAACTTCCAAATTGTGCAAAAGACTAGTCCCAAGAAGTTTACCACCACCTCATATCCTCCAGACACACCACGAGAACATATAAGATTTCCAATTATGATATGCCCGAGTAGCTGCCTACTTGCTTCTTTTTCGCCAGGTGTATGACCTGGAGACTACCTACCTTGATACTTCAAGCTCGACCGGCAACGTACTCAAGGGGTTTGATGGCTTCCTGTCAAACTCCAAATCGGTCAGGTGAGCAGATGCTGCGGTGCTCCGGTACAACCAAAAATCCGTCACGCAGCTTCTTCTGGCTTGAATAGTTCACAGTAGGAGTTGAGGGAGAGCAGGGGGGGAAACTTAAAGCTTTCCACCACCCTAAAAAGTTGGTTGGTGACAAGCTTTCACCATCTTCATTTTGGAGCCGCATCGCAAATCTCAGTCTTGCTTGGTCGTCGATGATCGTCGATGACAGCATTCGGAGGGGAAAATGGCCTTGCGTTCAGTGCTGCTGCAATTGCATGTGCCCAGCCTTCGTTGGATCAAGGTGACACCTGCGACTTTCCTGCAGCAAGCGGTCAAGGGGCTTCAAAGTGGAGGACCGGTTGTTCTCGCTGTCGTCAATAACTTCTCCCGCAGTAAGAACCTGCGCAAAAGCCTGCCCCCAATCTAGTCCGATAAAGAACGTTTCGTCAGAAACTCTCCTAAAAACGGCCACATGCTTCATTGAGAACTACCGAAGGAGAACCAGTGGACTCGTCAGAGGACCCATCTTCCCAAAAAAGGGCATGCTCTGATGCAAGACCACTTATGTAAAAAATTATCATACCTCCGACAGCAATCTGCGCTCTTAGTAAATGTATCGCATCGGTACATCTCACTTACCCAGTTTCAGTAAGTACGCTTCTGTGAGGAAGAGCCCTCTGTAATCGAACTTCGTGCACATTTGCTGAGCCTTAGGGCCAAAGGACCATGAGCACTCACAAGGACTCAATTGAACCAATGGTATGACCACTCATTGCTCCCTTTCCGTTTGCAAAGGACAGGTGTTTTTCTGCTTTGAGAAATGAAAAATGAAGCACAAATGATCGCCCTGATTTGCTGGTTACAGGTACAAGAGCTTGAGGCCGCAAGAGAAGGTGAGGGCCGTTCTGCAAACGCCTGTGATTGCTGTTTTCCCGAACCTTGTGTATCGAGGAACCAGTTGATTGCCTCTAACTTGCGGACCTGCAGACGATCTGAACAGAGTGAATCCCAACGATCTCACTAAGACACAAGGAGAGGAAGCACCCTTCATATGCCGTTGGCATTGTCCTCTCTCTACAAACGAGAACTACCATCTCGCGAAGTTGGGTGTGAGGGTGACCTCGAAGTTACCCGTTCCTCTGCCTCGACCTGATCAGGTCCCTCCTTCCTCTGCAGAGAGTAAGCTCGAGCAGATAGAAAAGGGGCAGCGACCGAAAGGCTTATTGCCGGGGAGTGGAACGTGAGATCCCCTCCTCCTTTTTTGCTGCTCTTCTAGCGGGTGGTCCAAGCCAACCCCATTTCTAGCAATTATTCTCAAGAGTCTGACAGCTATGTTGAGCGAAACGTCGAGGGTCCGTGCAGATTAGTTTTACGGAGGCCTATCGTGCTTCTCTGCTTGTAATGAGCGCACCTGCAAGTTCTGCAGCTCGGATGCTCATGTGGGCGATTGAGGAAGCTCGTTCAGGCTGGTCGTTGAAGGTTTTTGCTGCATTTTTGTTCTCTACCGAAGAGCCGATTTCGCTGTTCATTCGTACTTCTCGCGAATAAGCAAGGGAAAGGCTGCGTGTTCCTTCTTTCACAATTCAGCTCTCCATTGGAGTGATCAAGGGACATCTCCGACGAACGGTAATCGTGCTTTCACTGGAGTCGTTGAGGTGCTTTCACTCTCCAGAACCGAGTCCCAAGCTGGGGACCGATCCTTTTTGGCAGATCGACGCCTGCGCTATCTTCAGCGTCTGAATATGCTGTTCCCGCTCTGAACCCGTCTGAACGCTGTTAATTCTGCCGGCTGCAGTGCCAAGGGCCGAAAACCGGGCCCCAAACCGGGGACGCACCACAACAAGCGTCCGAAGCACCAGATGTCCGCGCCCTCGCCGCAGCTGTCCGAAAGCGGGCCGCCGATCCCGTACGACGAGAACGACGTCGAGACGTACCTCCAATGAAGCCGCCTTGAAGGACGCAATGGTCATTTTTGTCGAGGAATTCTAGAAGGCCTGCTTCGGGCCGAGAGGCTAGTTGTTTGCAGTCCAGGCCATGTTCAGATTGTCTCGGTAACACTGATCGCAAGGATGATTACAATGTGGTCTGGTATTCAACCAGCACTCCGGTATCAAAAAATGGGGAGTGTCTCGGCTTTTGATTTGATGTAAGATCTTTAGTAGAATTCATCAAAGTGGAGACGCCATGGCCGTCATTATGAAGCCTCGGCTTCCCATGCTCTTCTCGCCTGACAGCCTGGGCTCGGCGACTCCGCGCAATAATCTAGATTGCATGAATGTATCGTACCTGCGGTCGACTTGTTATGCCGGAGATCAAGTTGGACATGCCAAGCCGGACAGAGCACGATTTGACGTTGAACGCATATCCGACACTTTTATGCAGTAAGTCCAAAGTCCACGTCGCGGTCGTTCTGTTCTGCCACGTACCGGCATGTGCCATCGCATGAGCTTTAAAGGTAATGAGGTCATGAAACGCTGCAAGCGTGGGCCTTACTTGTTCATGCCGCTGCTATAGCATTTGCACGATTAAGAAACTTGAAAGCTAGCAGAGCGAACATGTTCAATTTAATGTTGATTTGAGTCTGTACGTAATCGAGCTAGTACGTTTGTCTTGCATGATATAAATCATTGGCCGGGGACTGTGCACGCAATTGGCTATCGGGAGCGTGTAACACGTGCATGTATACTCACCATACCCCCAGCAAATGGCGCCCATTGCAGTCACATGCAATTATATAGACAAGAAGATCAGCAGAGCCGCTCACTCAATTTGACAACTTTCTCCTTGGCATTGAAGTAATCAATCGGTAATACAAGGTCGAGATTAGGTCAAGCATCTTGATCTCTCGTGACTGTAGGCTGCACCAGAAAGCTCGTACGCAATATACATTGGAGTGGGTCGGCCCCGTAGATTGTAACCTATCTCAGAGCGTATTCTAGGTGCGCTTGCTCTTCCTCGAATTCCCGCAATTTCTGCCCCTTCTTTGCCTTACCAAGGTCTACGAATACGCACGTTCCATCGTCCTTGACTAGAATATTCCGGGGCACGACGTCCCCATGTACAAACCCGGCGCTGTGAATCGCCTTCAGAGCCTCCCTAGCGCTCTTGGCAGTCTTCTCCGTGATTCGGACTGTGTCCAGCATTCTGCCGGGCACATACTCCGTTACCAAGAGTTGCTCCATTCCTTCGTTAATGGGACCCTCGAAGATCTTCCGAGGCAAGATGGTCCCCTGGAGCCGGCTGAGGTTAACGCGCGGCCTTCGTTAAGGATTTCTGGCATCCAATCTGGATCCCCCGCATCCACCACCTTCGTGGCGACAAGCGTATCGCCCAACCTGCCAGGAATGGTTGCAAGGTTTGAGCGGTTGGGGAACGTAGGGGGGGAAAACAACAAAAGCTTTGTCGTAAAGATGGAAGACAAATGAAGCCAGTGCGAGCTTCCCCATTCGGCTGAAGAAAGAATCACCATCAGAATGTCCGATACTCAAACGTTTACCTGACCCCCGACGAAAAGGAACGCTGCCCTGAACACTAAACGTTCGTGCCTTTCAGCAACGGAGCAACAGTAGATCTGCAAAGGCTTAATTTGAAAGACAGACAGCATGAGTAAGAAAGAATTCCTAGACGTCCGTCTCCAGGATAGACGAAATCAGCGTAACAACTCTTTTTCAGCAGGTAAACCCACCTCCCGTAGCAGACCTCCGAATTTGCTATTGCCAGCGGCCTCCTACCTTGAATTCGCCTTAGTAGCACGTCCCCTTCCGATGCACCCCCGTTCGCTCCTTTCAACCTTGACGCTGCCCCCTCCATTGTCCGGACGTTTACTCGCTTCATTCGTTTCCCCCGCAAAGCCTCCTCGTCATGCAATGCATCATTGCCTGCCACGGCAGCGCCTCCCCGACTCCGTGCACCAATCTTATGGCGCACCAAGATTTCGCCTCCCCCATCCCCATTGCTCGCTAACACGGCCCACTTCAGGCTGTCCGTCTTCTCAACCTTACCGGAAACCCCGCACCCTTTGGCAACCGCACTGAAAGTGCTGTCCCGTAGTTGCGGACCGGACCACACCTTGGACGCACCCAAGCGACTACGCCTATTCCCTGCCCCTGTACCGTCGTCCGTCCGTTTCTGTATCTTTCCTCCGTCATCCCCGGACCTTGGACTGACAGCAGCCTGCGGGCCATGCTCTGAAACCCCGCACTCTTGCAGCCCTTCCCCGTGCGCACCAGCATCTTTGAACGGGACCACGCCGCCTTCCCCAGAAGGTCTAATTCCCCGCTTCCTGACAGTTCCGTCCCCTTTGTGACCCCCCTTTCCCCCTCCTTCCCGCGCTCTGTTTGACGGGGGACCCTGTGCCCCCTTCTCCTGCTCCTGCCAACTTCGTTTGCGTTTCTCTTGCGCCCTCCGCACCTTCTCTGCTCTTCACTTGCTCTCAGTTTCTTCTGCCGCTGCTTCGCCTTTCTCTCCTTTTCCTCTTGTTCGTCCAGCGCTTTAAACGCTGTGGACAGGACAACCTGCAGAGTCGAAATAGCAAGTTGAAGTCCGTCATTACAAGATGCTCGCCTGATAGGCTGTCACGAGCTTCGATGTCGATGCATGCAACCAACCCCTAAAAATCGAGTAGTGAACTTCAGCGTTTGGTGCATGCATGGCCTTGGCTGCAAAGCTTTCGACAATTGGCCAGGGCAAGACCCCTTCTCAGCATGTAGACTTAACGAGTAGGTGAATGAGCAGATGCACAAGGGCCTTGCAAGTAGAAACAACAATCTACTCTTCAGAAACCAGCTGGCACTCGCACTCACAGCAATGGGTGCCGCGCGGCCACAATCCAGCAATAGAACAGAAAATGCGCCTACAATCCAGCAGAGGCATTGAGGTGACGGGTTCAACCACTCTTTGCATGCTGCTCAGGAACCTACACCCGGGTCAACAAGTTTTGTAACCAAACCCGGATGACGTGGCAACTCCAACGGGTTATGGTTACGAGAATAAATGGTTATCCATGAGACCTAACCCAAGGCTGAGCCAACTTTATATTAGTCGATATAAACCCTCAATGCGCCAGCATTAGCGCCAGTGTCAAGTGCCTTTAACACCTTTGCCTTCGCCGTAGTCCGTAGGGAGCTAGAGCATTCGAGCGCCTAGCGCCGGTTC